GGATCGAACTCTGGTCCTTACGCTTGCGTAGCAGGCGGCGAAACCACCGACCTAAATCCCCGGGCCTGTTTGTTTGTTTTTTTTTGTATAGTTCAGGCTGGCCTCGAACTCATGGTGATCCTCCGGCCTCAATCTCCCAGGTGCTGGGATTATAGGGGTGCATCACCACGCTGGGCTGGGTCCCAAATATTTCACGATTGATTAAGCTATGTTTTGGCTTCAAAGTCTTTTTTTAAAAAATCAACTCTTCCTAGAAATACTGGGTAGTATTCCATTGGTTTCAACTGTATTTATTTCTCAATGAAGTACTGTATATTCAGCTCATCTTTAAATCTAGCTGGGCGTGGGGTAGCCTGAACTACATAGCGAGACCCTGTTTAAAAAAAAGAAATCTAATCAATTAATTGCATCAAACGAGAGCAAAATTTCCGAACCAGTACTTCCAATCAGAAATCTGTGACGACGAGTTTTCACTGAGCATGCGTGTAGGTATCACGTTTGATTAGGAGGTCGAGGCCCCGCCCCACGCACTCCACGCCCCTTATTTCTGTACGTTCTACTCCGGCGTCGGATTTCGGCCGGAAGTGATGTAGAGACCGCCGGAGGTGTCGTCGGTTCGTTCTGCGACTGGGGTTGATCGTGGTGTGGGGCCTGCGTCCGGAGATTTGCCGCTATGTCAATCGAAATCGAGTCTTCAGAGTGAGTCCAGTGATTGTAGATGTTTGCGGCGTGGCAGGGGCCGGGAAGTTAATGGTGTGGGAAGAGGATACTGAGGAGGAGGCATCCGAGGGTCTGGCAGTGGGGGGCCGTTACTTGCCCACAAAGAAACTTTTTGGATCTGACTGCCTCGGAGGTGGGCTTACGAGATAGTAGCGTGAAGCCCAGAGCCCCACACTAAGCGGCGTGGGGCTGGGGAAAGGCACACTTTGCGGACTTGACCCGTTGCTTTCCTCTGCCTAGTACTTCTTGCCTAGTATTGTCAGTAACTACTCCCTAGGCCCTTCCCACTAGCCTGTGTTGGTGTCTGGGGGCTCCTTTTCCTTATAGTCCCAGTGCCCTAGCACACCATAGAGGCTTAGTTACTGCTTTAGGAATAAATGAACGACTAGCTGTTTTATCAGGCCCATACTGGCGCCCAGTTAAAACCAAAACTGCGTCAGTGAATTCTGTGTGGCCCCAAAGGGTTGACAGAATCTGGAGATTGTGCCAGAAAAATGATGGTTGGAGGTAGTGAGGGAGAGGCAGGAAAATGGTGAATTACTGAAAAATGTCTTTAATGGGCTTTTCCGGGAGTACACCCTTCACCTCTCCTTGTTCTGAGTGTAAGGAAAAAGTCCTAAAGGCCTGCTGTGGGAGAAAGGGAAGTTTATTCATTCAGCAAATACTGAAATGTACTATGAGCCTTTCAAGATGTTGGGAATACAGTAGCGAAGAAAACAGACAGCTTTTCCCTTTTATATTTTTTTTTTCAGTACCAGGGATTGAACTCAGGACCTTGAGCTTGCGCTTTCGAGGCAGGTTCGGTGTCACTGAGCTATATCCCCAGCCATGTAGGATATATTTTTAAATTGGGAAATGCTAACAGTAGACAAAAATAATAAGTAAAATACTAAGTCTAACAGATGGTGGGAAGTGAGAAAAATAAAGCGAAGGATGATAATGAGTGGTGAAAGTTAAGATAACTAAGTCAAGGCAGGAGCTGGAAAGGACTTAATGCTTTTGGGGCCTGAATGATAGCTGTCAAGACTGTTCTCCCAGCCTTGACCCTGCCATAGTAGTAATGTTTGTTGCATGTTCTTATTATCAATAATAGATACTATGTACTAAGTATTTTCTATGCTAAGCGTGCTGTAGTGGCATAGTCAACTCTTTCCAATTCTCCAGATGGCATTTTTCTCAACAGAGGAGGAAACAGGAACAGAGATGTTAATTGACTTGCCTGAAGGTCACAGTAAGTGACTGAACTCCAATTCAAACTCTAAAGCTTTTAGCTCTTTATTACATTCTATTTGAAGCCAGTACATTTGTTTTCTTTAGTGGCAAATATGAGCTCTCTGGGGAGAGGGGGATCTCATTTGGGAAATGCAGAGCGGAAGTCAGTGGAACTGTGCTAATGAAAATAGTACCATACTAGAATATTGTAGGTCTAGGTCTCTGATAAAAGGGCCATGAAAGAAAAAGACTACTGCAGGTAGCAATACTCAATTTCTTTTTCTTTTCTTTTTTTTTTGTTACTGGGGATTGAACTCAAGACCTTATGCTTTTGAGGCACAATTTCCTTTTGGAAGTGTTTGCTTTTTTTTGAGGCAGGGTCTCAAAATATAGTCCAGGCTGGCCTCAAACTCACTCCTCCTGGGTGCGGGGATTACAGGCATGTACCACTATGCCTGGCTTTGCAGGAGCTTTTAAGAGGGCATTTGCTTTCTCATCAGGGATGTATCCACACTGACATTTAAAATCCTCATTTTTCCACTTATTATCTCTTTTATTTGTTCAAATCTTCATCTATAAATTGGAGATAATCTACCTCATAGGGTTGTTTTCAGTAAAAAAATAAAAGCAGATGTGATTTTTGCAAATGAGACATAGCTTTATTCTTCTTTTACGTGTAGCTCTGCTTGTGTTCAGCAAATTCCATTAAGAAAATACTAATTCACATTTTTTGTTGACATTTTAAAAAGACAAAATCATCTTTCAGTTATTGATGGTTTTATATCAGTGACTAGAATAGGTTTAAAACATTTCACTAAAGTATGCAATTTTATAGTCACAAGATTTCATAAGAAACTGGGTGGCTTAGGAGATAAAGAGTTACATTGGTACCATCTCCTTTTCTGACCATGAGACATTGGGCAAATGATTTCCCCACTGTGCACTCCAGTTCTCCTGTCTCTAGGATGGGGGTCTTTGGAACTTAGATTTTGTGATTTTTGGAACGTTTTACTCACATGATAAAGATATGGAAAGTAGCTGGGTGGGGTGGGTGGTAGTGCATGTTTGTAATCCCAGCACTTGGGAGGCTGAGGTAGGAGGATTACTGTACATTTAAAGCCAATTTGGGCTACATAATGAGGACATGGCTGGTTTGAACCACAGAGCAAGAGCCTGTCTTAAAAAAGAAATGGAAGGGGCCGGGGATTTAGCTCAGTGGTTTTGTCGCCTGCTACGCAAGCACAAGGACCTGAGTTCGATCCCCCAGTACCAAAAAAAAAAAAGAAATGGAAGGCCAGGGATTTAGGTCAGTGGTGCTGCACCTGCCTCTCAAGCGCAAGTTTCTGAGTTCGATCCCTGGTACCAAAAAAAAAAAAAAAAAAGAAGAAGAAGATAGTAGGAAAATGATTGAGTAGGAGAAATAAGCTGGGGTGGACTTTACTTTTGGCTTCTGGTAAATGAAGATTCTTGAGCAGAATGACTTGCTTTCTTTCAGTGTGATCCGTCTTATTATGCAGTACCTGAAGGAGAACAGTTTACATCGGGCATTGGCTACCTTACAGGAAGAAACTACTGTGTCTCTGAATACTGTGGACAGTATTGAAAGTTTTGTGGCTGACATTAATAGTGGCCATTGGGATACTGTTTTACAGGCTATACAATCACTGAAATTGCCAGACAAAACCCTTATTGATCTCTATGAACAGGTAAGAATGGTGGTAATGCTAGTAATCTCATGTTGGTTTATTGTTGGCTGGGCCCTGGACTGTTGCCTGCTCCTCTAAAGCATCAGTGAAGCACCATAGGACTATAATTGTCTGTAAAACTCACACCTGACACTATATTTTTTTTCTTTCCTAGAAAATCCAACATTTTCCCAAATTGAAGTGGTTTTTTTGCAGTGCTGGGGATTGAACTTGGGGAAATTATAAGTATAATGGTACCTCACTTTATTTGTGAACAATTTGGTTCCCAACCAGAAGCGTTTAGAAAAATTGTGTTTTTGTTTGCATACTCTACATTGGGTGATGACCACGACTGCGACCATCTTTCCCACATGAACAAAAATGTGGCTATCTTTTCCAGAATCTAGAATGAATTAAGTTGGTGAATTGAGAGAGCAGTGTATTTCTTAACTGATCTGATGTACTGTGATTCATTTCTGTCTTTAACCACCTGGAAGTAGTGCAGATCCCACAAGTACTGAGTCCTCTATGATTGCTTTTACTTCTGATACCAGCTTTGGTTTGGGCATGTGCAGGCTGCCCACACTTTTGATCAACTGGCTACATATTTGAGGGTCCCTTGATCCACTAAGATTTAATAATTTGCTGGAATGACTCACAGTTCAGAAAAGCTCTTTACTTAAGATTACAGTTTAATTATCAAGGATGTAGGTCAGAACCAGCTGAATGAAGAGACATGCAGGGCAGAGTGTGAGAGGGTCTTGAATATAAGCTGTGCTACTATCTTGAATTGGTGTGTATCACCCACCTGACAGTGTGTTCACCAACCAGGAAGTTCCATTGACATGTTTATTGGGATTTCATTAGGTAGGCGTGATTGATAATTCAATCTCCAGATCCAGTATTCACCTCCCTCCTTTCCCCTAAAGGTTGGGGTGGCTCAGAGCCTCCAACCTTCTAAGCATATATTTGGCCTTTCTGGTAACCAGTCCTTAACTTTAGCCATTGCCCTAGCACAAACTCAAGTGTGATTAAAGTGACTCAGACATATCTGTTACTGGCAAAATTCCAAAGTTTTAGAAGTTCCAAGCCAGGATCCTAGGACAGAGATCAAATTATCATTAAACAACATTGAGAAAAATGAAAAATAAACTTAAAATACGAATCAGTGAGAAAGGAATAACTATGGAGAGAGGAAAGAAGGGAGAGACAGACAGGCAGGGGCAAGGGGAGAATAGGTGGATTTTCTAGAAATTGAAGTATTGTTTGAAGTGAAAAAAAGGGAAATAAGTTTATTTCTTTATGACTCACATAAGTTCAGTAATTCCTCTACTCCTATTTTGGTACCTGGAGAAAGGTTTCTGTGGAGCCCATGGAAGTATTCTTGCCTTTAGTTTTCTTTAACATCTATATTCTGAACATGAGACCTGAGAGAAGGAGAGCTTGGTAGATAAAAGTGAAAGTTGGAGTTTGAAGAATTGAAGTTGTTACTTATAGTTACTTCAGTTGTTTACCTGGAATTGCTAGTGAAAAGGAAAAGGGGCATTTCCCAATGTTGGAAATCATTTTGGTTGGCCATATCTGTTAGAAGTGTTAATGAGATAGGAAGATTTATAAGACAATGCATTGGGACATCCATTTTCTTTCCATTGTCCAGGTTGTTTTGGAGTTGATTGAGCTCCGTGAATTGGGTGCTGCCAGGTCACTTCTGAGACAGACCGACCCCATGATCATGTTAAAACAAACACAACCAGAGCGGTATATTCATCTGGAGAACCTCCTGGCGAGGTCTTATTTTGATCCTCGTGAGGTATGACTGGTTACAAAAAGAAACGTGTTAACTGAAAATATGCAGTAATTAAAAAAAAATCATTTCATTGGACACTTTGTGATTTTGATTTAATTTTTGTTTTGTTTTTTTCCCCTGGTATTGGGGATAGAACTTAAGACCTTGTACTTGCATCACTGAGCTAAATCCCCAGCCCTGATTTGATTCAGTTTTTGAGAAGGATGCTTTTCTGTTTATATATGTTGGCTAAATTTTCATACATTAAAGAAAATAGTCTTGTCCAGTTTTCTGATTATACTGAGAGTCTTCTCCTGTACACACTCCTAATTTTGAGATTGTATGTTGGTTAGTAAAAAAGTGAAAAATTTTATTCTGATATTATTTCCACATTAGCCCAAGTACTTATTTGACCCTGAGGGGCTGACAGACTGCTAGTATGTTCACTGAGCATTTGTCTCAGTAACAATTTTTCCTAGCCATTTCTGTCTCCAGAAGTTTGTTCCTTTGAGTGATTATGTGTACTGGTAGAACATGGTAACTGATAGTCTTCTGTTTTTCTGAAACCTTATATTTTGTGTGTGTGTGTATTTCTTTCCCATCTAATCTTTCACTTGTCAGAATAAAGGGAAGAAGAATTTAATAGGCATTGGGTAATAGAAAGTTGATGTAAATTTAGAGACCATGAAAATGAAGGAAAGGAGTTTCGATTACTAGAACAGGATTTATGTTAGAGGTGATGAAATGCTTTGGGGCTGGGTGTCATTTGATTAAAAGACCTTTTTAAAGAATGTAAGAGAGTCCTTTGCTCCTGTAAATTTTTTCAAAAACTGAAAAGCATTTCTGTGGTTTACTTGGACTCTTCAGAAATAACTGTGGATTGGCTGACATCACTTCTCTCCTGCCTCATACTTTTGAGATGCAAATGGGTAGAAATGGAAAGCCATTTTTTAAAAAATAAATTGATTAGGTGTTAACAGCCTATTTAACTGGGTAGTTTCATGTTTTTCTTCTTGGAATGTTTTGCTTGTTTGTTTTAAATAAGCACACTTATTTCTTGTCATTGCTTCTTGGCAATAATGCTACCTCCTCTCCTTTTTTTAGGCATACCCAGATGGAAGTAGCAAAGAGAAAAGAAGAGCAGCAATTGCCCAGGCCTTAGCTGGGGAAGTCAGTGTAGTGCCTCCATCTCGTCTCATGGCATTGCTGGGACAGGTAATTAAATGTCTGTGGAACTGAAATTACCCTGAACTCTCAATACCATTTTCTGTGTGTATATAATCTTTCTGTCTGAGCTAAAGAAATCAGGCACCTTAAGAATGGGTTTACCTCTTGAGCTACTTGAACCAGCAGCTATCGCCATGCCACACTTCCTCTTTTCCTGGGAGAGGCAATGTTAGAATAGTGGTTAAGAACATGAGCTCTATCTGGGCATCATGGCATATGCCTATAATCTCAGCACTCAGGAGACACAGGCAGATGGCTGTGAGTTTTAGACTACAAAGTGAGACCCTATTGGGTTCATGACAGCAAACCTTGTTAGACAAATGAAGACCTGAGAGACAGAGAATATCTTTGTGGAGGGTCAGGGGACTCCACCGAAATGGAACCCTGAACTGACTCAGACTCCCAGAATGATTCAGGAACAACAGAGGGATAGTGTTCTGGTGAGTGCACATGTTTGCTTTAGGTATTGATGCAGGCAAGGAAGGAATGGTAACAGTTTGGCTGAATTTTATTGTGTGTAAAAAGGTTGAAAATGGAATCAGTATTCACAGGGCTATTATCTGTCTTAATTTGTTTAGGGAGACCAGTGTGAGCAAAGCAGCTAAGGCAATGATAAATAACCTGAAAAGTAGTTTTTTCCTGCTGTGCAATTGTATGTATCATTTTTGAATACGTGTCAGGGAGACATGTCCATATGAAAGGCCAAAAAAAGGGGACATGAGTGACATCTATTTGTCAAACTTTACTAGGTCTCAATCTTTGGAGATTAACCCCCAGCAGAGGGCCAGTGCATCCCCTCCGCACCATGAGGAGCATTGTACATTTTGGGCCTGAATCTTAGAGCAAAATCTTTGTGACAGGCATGCCAGTTTTGGTGCAAAAGTTCATGAGAGAGATGAGCCTTTATCAAAAGCAGAAAACAACCAAAGTATCAGCTGTTTTATTCCCTTTAGAAATGGGTCTAGGGAGTCTAGAATAGAGAACGGGAGATGGATAATAAAAAGAGGATGAAAGAAGATGAGAGGGGCAGAGATTTAGCTCAGTGGTGCCACCATCTGCCTTGCAAGTGCAAGGTCCTGAGTTTGATCCCCAGTACCAAAAAAAAGGACGAGAATTTGTCTGGACTAAGTTTTGTAGTTGTACGTAAAGTAAGAACAGAGCTGGTGCAATAGAAGGTTTGATATGGGTTGTCCCAATAGTTTATATAGAATATATAGCATATTTAGAATTGGAGACTAGATTTAAAGGTTCTTGAGGAAAAGTTTGTAAAGCAAGTATGATGGCATCTAATTCTTGGCCTTTTGAGTGGAAGAGAATCTGCCTCTAGTTAACTTTAGAGAACCTGACACTATATCTGCCTTTTTAGTGTGGTCGGAGCCATCAGTAAATATAGTATGCCCCTTTGGAATGGGGTTTAGAACAAACAAACTTAGAAAGGATGAAAGGAGTTATTGTTAAAAAGCGCAAGAGCTTATCAGTGGGCCAAGATCTAAGGATTTTTCTCGTAAAATTAGCTAGCGCACATTGTAGTGACACAGACTGTTGAAGCAAAGTTTTAAATTCCACATGAGGAATGGGAGGATAATAACCTGAGGATCATAGTTGGATAATTAACTCTCTTTCTACCCATGATGATAAGAGGAGCTGTGAGCTTAGCATAAAATGTGATGTTTTTATGGCCTCAATGGCGCAAAAAGATTTAAAAACTTAATTATCTCATATGTCCAGTAGGTAAGCAGGGAATGGAAAAAGAAATAGTTGAATAGGAAATTGTGGATCTATGTGATCCAGTTGACGCTGTTGAACTACTAGCTCAGCGACTTTGTTCTACTAGCTGTAACTATTTTTTAGCTTTTGGGGTTAAGGTATGAGAGGAGGACAAATTAGGATCACTCCAAAGAATATTAAATAGGTATGTCAGTTGGTGAGTAGGAATCTCTAAACTGGGATGGAGCCAATTAATATCACCTGGCATTTTTTTTTTGGGTTGGGGGATGGAGCCAATTAATATCACCTGGCATTTTTTGAAAATCATTTAAAATAGTCAATTGGTTTCTTCTAATAGAGGGCTTTTGGGGCATGATAGTAACCTCTTTTAAAATGTAACCCAACTAATTCTAGGGGGAGGTTTTTTGATTTTATCAGGTGTTATAATCAGCTGGAAACGTTGGACTTGTTTTAGCAGTTGATGATATGGCTTTAAAAGCTCTAGGGGGTTTGTAGTATTCAATAAGATATCATCTATGTAATGAAAAATAATTGCTTGAGGCTGCTGTTGTTTGATTGGTGTTAGTGCCTGAGCCACAAAAATTTGACTTATATTAGGACGATTAAGCATGGCCTGGGGCAGCATTTTCTAATGAAATCTCTGGGCAGGAGCTGATAGAAGGAAGATAGAAGGAAGGGTGAAAGCAAACCTTTCACAATCTTGAGGGGCCAAAGGAATGGTAAAGAAACAGTCTTTTAGATTGATCACTATCAATGGCCAACCTTGGGGAATCATACATGGGAAAGGGAGCCCAGGCTGTAAAGCCCCGATAGGTTGAATAACTGCATTGATCCAACAGAGGTCATGCGATAATCTCTATTTCCCTGACTTTTTTGATATGACAAAGTAGGGGAATTCCAAGGACTCTGGGAAGGTTTTATATGTCCCTGTTGTACTTGCTCCTGTACTAAGAGGTGAGCTTGATGTAATTTCTCTCCTTTTAGTGGCCACTGCTCAACCCAGACCGGCTCCTGTGTGAGCCAGGTGAGGGCAAGGGGAGTAATAGCAGTGGCACCTGTAAAAAGGTGGGTTATCTAATGAAAAAACCCACTGTTGTAATAGGTCTCTACCCCAAAGATATATAGGCATATCAGTGATACACGGTTGGATGAGCACTGTTTTAGCCTCTGGGCCAGTCACAGAAAGAATAGCACACCTTGGAGCATGAAAGGCTGGATTCCAATGCCTACCAACTCACAGCGGGTTCCAAGTTTGGTGATCATTGTCTTTTTGCAATAACAGCAACATCTGATCTGGTGTCTAGCAGCCCTAGGGAGCTTTTATTTATTTTTATTTTTATTTTTATTTATTTATTTATTTTTGGTACTGAGGATTGAACTGGGGTCCTTGCGCTTGCGCAGCAGGTGGCGAAACCACTGAGCTAAATCCCTGGCCAGGAAGCTTTTATTTTTAATCTGAATGGTCAAAGTAGGTCAAGAGGCTGTGATGGGGTGAGCCCAATAGACCCTTGGTCTCTGGTGTCAGCAAATCCCTGATCTCCCCTCGCCTTTTCTTTAGACAGAGGAACCCAATATAGCAAGAAGAGGAGTTGAGCAATTTTCATTTTAGAAGTAAAAATTTGGATCCCCTTTCCCTGCATTAATATCATAATTTCTTCCTGATAATCTGCATCTACAATTCCTGGAATCACCATTACCCCTCAAGCATTTAGTCTAGATTTCTCAAAATGTGTCCTATGGTTTCGGTTGGAAGGAGTCCAAAGACTTTCCTGGGACCTTTTGAGGGAATCTTTCCCTCTAAGAGCTTAACTTTTGTTGAACGCTATCTATCTATCTATCTATCTATCTATCTATCTATCTATCTATCTATCTATCTACCTACCTACCTACCTATCTACCTACCTGCCTGCCTGCCTACCTACCTACCTACCTACCTACCTATCTATCATCTGTCTTTTATTTTGTGAGCAAGTCTAATCTGGTGCTTCCCCAAGTGTTGGCCAGAAGGAAAGGATGATTGTTTTCCCATCTGATTGAAGGCCTTCACCCTCATTATTTGTGGGCTAGGCCCCATTGAGAGTTTATCCAAGAGAAAAGAGAGGGTTGTTGTCCTTTTCATATTTAGAATGGCATTGATTAGCCCAGTAGTTCCCTTTTTTACAGTGAGGGTGCTGGCAAAGGCCTGGGGCCTGAAAAGTGTTAATTGGCACAGCAGTTGAAGGTCCCTTTTTCCTGTCTGTAATCCCTTTTTTTTTTTTTTTTTTTTTAGTTCTTTTATTGGTACATTTTAGGTATACAATTCATTTACATTTACCATCGGGTGTTTGTACCTTTACATGATATATCTTGGTTCTTATTTTTTTTCCCCCAGTGCCTTTGCACCCTTCACCCCCTCCGCCCTTCCCTGTTTACATAGATTTCATTTCCATTTTTTTTTCTTTTCTCATAGAGTAATCCTTTTTAAGATGCTGAGTGTGCTGCTGGTCACCATGCTGACCAGCTGGAGCAAATGGGAACTGTCCTGGGGAAATTAGAACACATGTTCACTCTAGGTAGAATCCAAGCTCTCTTACTTACCAGCTGTCTGGTCTTGGCAAATGACTTTACTTTTTTGATCTCATTTAATTATTGTGGTGTTATGGTATTAAATGAGCTAATTCTCATGAAGCACCTTATATATTGCCTGACATCTTGTAAATAGGCACCTGCTGGTTGTTGGTGATTTTTTTTTATTAGTATTTTCAGCATTGGCATTATTATAAAGCTAGCTAGAAAAATGAATGTTTTATAAATAACACAGGGCACAAGTGAACAATAGGAGTGTAAATAGCCTTTTTGTACTAAATCAACATTTAGAAAGGACCATTTTGTGACAGGCTTATGGTGATATTTTTTTTTCTGTTTTTGGGTGGCATTGAGGTTTAAACCCAGGACCTCACAAGCTAGTGAAGTACTCTTCCACTGACTACATTCCCAGCCCTAGATTTGTAATGAGATTCAAAATAGGCTTTTTTCGTTTTTTAAAATGTTTAAATTGACACATAAAAATTGTACATATTTATGGGTTATTGTGTGGTGTTTTGGTACACGTGTACATTTGTGTAATGCTCAGAGCAGTATAATCATATCTGGAAGCATTTATTGTTGCTTGTAATGAAACTTGCAAAACATTTCTTCTAGGTTTTTTGAAATACACAGTACTGTCATTATAGTCACCATATTGTCCAGTAGAAGAGTGGAATTTATTTTCCTGTTTAATTGCTTTTTATTGAATTTACTCTTTTTTTTTTTTTTTTTTAACAGAGTAATGTGTATAGTTTAAATAATACTTCAGGACCCCTATTGGAAAATAGTGCTGCCATGTACTACTGCCCTTTTTCATCTTTGATTCTTCCACGATCATTTTCAATCTGACACCTCCAGAGCTGAATACTATATTATACTATAATTGCTTGATCTTTCTGTTCTTTTGGTAGGCATTGGCTATTTTCTTCATTGGGAGATTATATATCTCATACCTATGCTCCACAATATGCACACCTTAGATTTTCATTGTAATTATATCACTACTTTTGGTTAAATCGGTATTCAGTGTTTGCATAATTATCTTTACATAAATATTGTTCACATTAAAAACTAATTTTTTAACATAATTTTATGATGAATTATAATAATAATTGCCTTATTTTTAACTTTTGCCTAATTTTCAACTTTTGCCTAATTTTCTCTGCACATCTACTAATTCAGCCTGACTCTTCTTACCAGAATTTTAAAAAGTCCTTTTTCCTCCTTTCCTCATCCTCTTCTGGAGGGTCTATTTGTTGCTATCAGGATTAGTTTTCTTGGATTGGTGCATATTGCAGTTATTTTATTGGGGGTTCTTTGATCTTCACACTGGAAATTTTTGGCCTCTTGTGTTGGGTCATATTTTGTAGTTATCTGTTTTCTTTCTTTTATATTTTAGACCTTTATTTTGATAGAATAACAAGTCTAGTAACTTCTTAAGAAAGGGTGCATGGAAGTAATTTAATTTTTTTTATAATTTTTGAGATGAAGGTCTCGCTATGTTGTGCAGGCTAGTCTTGAACTTGTTGGCTCAAGTAATCCTCTTGTTTTAGCCTCCCAAGTAGCTGGGAAGAAGTAAATTTTTGAAATTTTATTCGGACCTGTAATTTCTCCTCTTCCTTTTTATCCAGTTTTTAATTGGTTGTTATATTTATTATTAAATTGTATTTATAATTAATTTTATTCAGCTTTTAAATGGTTAAATGTGAGGAGAGAGGCATTAGTTCTCAGTTGGCTTGTAGGTTTCTGGCTTGTGACCTGGTGAAGCACATTGGTTGGGGGTTGGTGGTGGACACTGGGGAATATACCCTTTTAAGTAAACTGTGACTCATCCATTAGATGACATGTTTTGCAACTGTTAAGTGATAATTATGGCAGAGTGTGATCTGATGATAGGTGAAAAAAACAAAATTTTAACATATAGACTGACTACTAATAGGGCAGTTAAGTACATTATATAAGGGGAGAAAAAAAATGAATGTAGGGTATAAAAAACAGTGGCTGTGTTTGAGTATTAGAACTATGGGAACTCTTGGTTTTCAAGTTTTATAAAAAAGAGCTATACCTATAAGGAAAATAGACTTGTGGGATAGACAGACTTCTTGGCTTTCAACTTGTATTCTTAGACACAGCCTGTGTTCTTTATGTTGTGTTTGGATGGGCAAAGTTGGCTGGCATCTGGAAGGCTCACTATTTCCTCTTTTTAAGCTTGGTTTTGTCTGAACAATCATGTCCAGATCTTAAAAACACCTGAGCAGGTTGATATACTTTTCTTTTTTCATAGGCACTGAAGTGGCAACAGCACCAGGGGTTGCTTCCTCCTGGTATGACCATAGATTTGTTTCGAGGCAAAGCTGCGGTCAAAGATGTGGAAGAAGAAAAGTTTCCTACACAGCTGAGCAGGCATATTAAGGTAAGATCCTTAGACACTCAGCCAGTTGGTAATCATTTGTTGGACTCCTCATGGGCTCAGCCTTGCCCTGTGACAGGAGCTTGGGTACTGGAGAGAAGAACTCCTTCTCTAGCTCTGACAAATCAGAGTTGCTATTGGCGTCCTTTGGAATACTGTTGTGGCCTACCAGCACAGCTCATATGTATGACCAGGTAGACATATATTTGACATCGGGCCTGTCATCTGTCATCCATTTGCTCTCAAGATGCCTACATTTGGAGGAATGGTTAACTCTTTGGTTAAACCTGGGGACTAACTGTAAACTTTCTGCATACTTGCATTTGTGTTTTGCCTGCTGTATGTTAGTCAAAATGCCAGGCATGAGTTATAAAGTAGGCTTATGTGATATTTAAAGAAGATGATTTTATCATCTTGTGACTTATTCCTTTTTTGGAGTGTGGAGATGCTGAGGGTTGAACCCAGGGCCTCATATATACCAGGCAAACACTCTACCATTGAACCACATCCCAGTCTTTATTTTTAAATTTTAATCTGAGACTTTTCTAGGAAAAAGAAAAAATAATTGCTGCAGTTTCCAGAATTACAAATATATTTGCTATTTTGGCACCTTGTATTACAGTGTCTCTGGATTTGTGCTCTAATTGAATCCACAAATTTTAAAATGTTTTATATTCCTCAAATTTTTACTTTAGTATTTTATTTTATTTTTTTGGTTTTTTTGAGACAGGGTCTCATTGTGCAGTTCAGGCTGGCCTTGAACTCATTATGTAGCCCAAACTAGGGCCAGGGATTTAGCTCAGGGCCAGGGATTTAACTCAGTGGTTCTGCCTCCTGCCTTGCTAGTGGAAGGACCCAAGTTTGATCCCTGGTACCAAAAGAAAGAAAAACCCCTAAAACTCACTGCTGTAGCCCAGGCTGGCCTGTACTTGTGGCAGTCCTCCCGCCTCAACCTTCCAGGTGCTGAGATTATAGGTATGCTCCACCATGTCTGGCTAGTTTAGCATTTTAGCTTCATCTTTCGTGGATTATATGTTCTAACTTGCATGCAGTATTTTGTTTTGGTACCAGGGATCAAACTCAGGACCTTGTGCTCGCACAGCAGGTGGCGGTGCCACTGAGCTAAATCCCTGGCCCTTGCATGTAGTATTTTTTGTTTGTTTGTTTGTTTGTTTTGGTACTGGGGATCGAACTCAGGTTCTTGCACTTGGGAAGCAGGTGGCAAAACCACTGAGCTAAATCCCCCGCCCATATGTAGTATTTTTGAGCATTGCCCTAATTTGGCTGAAACTTGCAGCTGAGTAGAAATCCATAATAATTATGCTACAAGGCTAAGCTTTTATGGTATAAACATTTTCCGTTTTTGGCATTGGAAGTGAAATCTACATTAGAACTTTTCTCTATTCTTCCATCTATAATTTTCTATAGTTTTCATATATTATTGGAAACATCATCAATGGTAAATGGTTGATCAGCTTTAATTAGTCCTCCTTGATTTGATCAGTTATGCATTATCATGTGATTAAATGAAGGTCATGAGACAGTGATGGAAAGTTTGTTTACAAAATAGTGTAGGAAAATATACATTTACTTTGAAAATACGATCCCTTCCATGCACAACAGGAACATATTAGGCCATCTTGAGCATGAAAGTCATGTTAATAATTGTAGCTGATTCTAGCAAAACCTTAGTCTGAGGTAGAAATAAAACTGATCAGAGAAATCATCACTAGCACCCTGTGTGCAGGTGTAGAAACACTCCTCTGATATATAGGCTGGCTCTGACTTCATGTAAGGGCAGGATTTCTCAAAAAATTACAGTGGGAATTATTTTAAGGACACTAGATAAAAATGCTTTTGTTTCATTTCATTTGAAACAGTTTGGTCAGAAATCTCATGTGGAGTGTGCACGATTTTCTCCAGATGGTCAATATCTGGTCACTGGGTCTGTTGATGGATTCATTGAAGTATGGAACTTTACTACTGGAAAAATCAGGAAGGTAAAGTATTTTAAATATATTAGCTTTCCCTTGGGAAGAATTACTGACTTTGAATTTCTTATCTGTGCCTTATTTGTAAGATTATTTGAGGAAGGATCTGTGTGTCTGAATATGCATTACTTTTGTAATTTAAAAACCCAAATAAACTGAATTTATTATTAACCAAGGGAACACCTTTATTTTTAAAATTTAAATCATTTTTATGATTCAGATTTATATGTGTGTTATTTTGAATGAGTAATAGTACAACATTAAAAATAGATGAAATCTATTCTGTTTGTGATGCAAAAATCAGGTTTACTTGGCCCATAAAATGTACAACTTATCACCATAAACAGATGATTAATTACCTCTTCCTCTTTATTTGTACTGCCGGCCTTAGAAAATCTCAGTTTAGAAGAAAGCAGAAGTGTTTTTTTTTTTTGGTACCGGGGATCGAACTCAGGACCTTGCGCTTGTGAGGCAGGTGGCGGAACCACTGAGCTAAATCCCTGGCCCTGGAAGTATTTCTTGATATTTCTTATAAATTTACTGTGTCTAGGGCCGGGGATTTAGCTCAGTGGCACTGCACCTGCCTTGCAAGGGCAAGGTCCTGAGTTCGATCACCAGTACCAAAAAAACAAAATAAATTTACTGTGTCTACATGTTGTCTGATGTTCAGACTTAAATAATTGTAACTTTATAATGTGTCCCAAAATATGGAAATGGATCGTTCTCCTCTTTATATTTGAGATTTGAAAAATAATGTCTCATCCTTTGTTTTTTAAAAGGGATTCTAGAATAATTTTGTGACATTTCTTGTTGATTCACTGGTATTATAAATATAGTAGTATTAAGGATATACTTTGAAGTATTTATTGGCATATCACATCATCAAATCTAAGTCTGTGCCTTATTCTCTACATATGCAGATCATGTTCCCTAATTGTTTTCTTTTTTTTTTGGTACCGGGGATTGAACTCGGGTCCTTGGGCCTGCGCAGCAGGTGGTGAAACCACTGAGCTAAATCCCCGGCCCAATACCTAATTGTTTTCTTTTGGTTTTTTGAGACAGGATCTCACTCTACAGTTCAGGTGGACTTGAACTTGCTCTGTAGCTCAGGCTGGCCTTGAGCTTGTGGTGATCTCCCTGCCTCAGCCTCCCATGTGCCAAAATGCCTGACTATCAGATTTTATTTATGAGAAGTATTTTTTGAATATGTTACTGATTTTTCCTTTTCTTTGGTACCGGGTCTTGAACTTGGGACCTTTTGCTTGCAAGGCAGGCAGCAGAACCACTGAGCTAAATCCCCGGCCTTGTTACTGATTTTTAAAGAAGATATTGGTAATATTTTATAGAGATGGATATATAAGTGCTTGGTAGGGTATGAATATTTCTAGGTGCTTATATAATCCTTTCTTTGCAATGATATGTGAGGAAGATTTTCCTTTGTAAAACAAAATACTGGCATAGATTGAGAGATTGGAACATCGATTATCTCTTTTCAAGGTTGACATTAGAAGTGTTTTCAAAAAATAATAGAACTTCAAACTTCTAATTAAATGTATTTTTAAAATGAAATAATTGTTTCCCTAAAAATTCATCATATTCACGTCATAGGTATGTTGTTGCACTTTTGATTCTATTAATAACAGAACATTTAAAAAAAAACATTTTTTCTATTTTAACTTCTAGTAAGTTAAAAATTTTTTCATACACAAATTTAAACAAGAGATCTTTTGGTTTCTCCGTAGTTATTGAGTATGTAAAGATCTTGAGAGAAAGATTTGAGAGGTATTTCTTTTTTTTTTGAGAGCTATTTCTATATAATATGTGCTGTGATTGGGAGTCACTTAGCTTTATTGTGCTGGCATAGTTTTAGTGAGTAGTAAAACTGAGAAACACTATAATTTTTTCCAGTTGAACTTTTCTGGCAGGATAGGTGTTCTTGTCATGGTTCTGAAATGTAATAGCTTAAACTCTTCCACTTCAGTGCTTATATCACTTGTTTGTCTTTCTGGCCTTGTAACACCCCACATGAATTTTGGTTTCATGTGACAGTACAGTGGAGACTGACAATATCTTTAACTTATTTCTGATCCTGAAAAATTCATGTAAAGTGTTTCCATTCAGTCGTGTGCGTGTTTGTTTCATGGTATGCATATGCCTGCTTTATCTAGTTGTTGATCCTTTTTGATTTTTTAAGATTAGAGGCCTTTGGGGCTGGGGATTTAGCTCAGTGGTTTCACTGCCTGCTGTGCAAGCGCAAGGACCCGAGTTTGATCCCTGGTACCAAAAAAAAAAAGATTAGAGGCCTTTAAGAAATAATAAATAGAAATTAAGATTTAGAAAATAGATTTATGCCAAGATCAAGTAATTGCCTGATATATTCTTTGTTGATTTAGGTTTCTCATGGTTATCCATCCTTATCTTTGATAAAAGAACTTCACTTATTAAAAAAAAAAGAAATCTATTCTATGGATAGATTCAAAAAACATTTAAAAATAAATTATTCAAGTAGAGTTTTACTCCCACCCATGTCCTTTAGCTAGTTAGTTCCCTTCTGTGGACCAGCCAGGGTTACGAGTTTATGTAATTTTCCTGTAATATTCTGTATGTATGCAAGCAGATACTGATTGTATAACCTTTCCAATTTTGTTTTTTTTTGGTACGTGGGATCGAACTCAGGACCTTGTGCTTGCAAGGCAGGTGGCGGCACCACTGAGCTAAATCTCTGGCCCTTTCCAATTTTTTAAACACAGGTGGTACTTTTATAGTATATCTTGGAGATAATTGTTGTATTACATTTCATTGCAGGAATTGAACTATGATCTGTTTAACCTGTCACTTTAAGATTGTTTCCAGTCTAACCTGATTGTAGTATTAATTGTATCTTTCATGTTGAAGAACTTTTTGTATGTAAAAATCCATCCATATTTCCTAATCTGTGAAATCTCTTAATATCCTTTACCTGTTTTTCTACTGGACTGTTTATTTGTAGAAACACTGTATATTTTGAGGAAATCAAAGTGTATATAGCAAATATTTTTCAATTTTGGCTTTGGTTTTGCTTATGGTTTTATTTTACAGACTTAAAATTCTTTTTGTATCAAATTTATTCCTTTTTCCTTTTACAGTTTCTTCTATAACTTTTATGTTTTGTCTTACATTTAGTATTTTTTTCCGGATACAGCTGTTTATATTATAGAACTTTATGTACAAAATCATTTGATTTCAAATAAGCATTTAATGTAAAAGCATGTTTTTTAAACTGAATTTTTTTACATAGTTTTTGATCTATATGAGGTTTAAGAGGATAAAGTTGTTATAGATTCAGCTTAGTTCTTTTTCAAAATAGCTATTGACTTTCATCAATTGATTTAAAATATAACCTTTATCTTAGAGTACTAAATTCCACTAAGGAATATGGAATGATTTATAAATGATTTTTACTTTCTACTTAATGTATTTCTGTGTAGTTTCCTTTTTTGAACCATGAAGCAGTGTTACTTTATAACTAGGAAAAAATAATGGATACTTTCATTTGAACAGTAATGGGTGATCAAAGAAGTATTGCAAGTAAATAGTTAATGATTTTAAGAAACATAACTGACACTTTGAAGAAAAATATTACTTTACTTTTTTAATATCATTTCCAAAAATAAGTGAATTCAGGTTTATTAAAGATGGAAAGTATGAAACTGTAGAGAAACTTTGCCTTGAAAAGATCAGTAAGTAAAAGAGCTAGGGCATTACCTTGATCTGTTTGTTTATTTGTTTATTTATTTATTTATGTATGGTACCTGGGATCAAACTTGGGACCTTGCATTTGAGAGGCAGGTGGCGGCACCACTGAGCTAAATCTCTGGCCCTGGTCTGTTTGTTTATGGAGGTACTGGGGATTGAACCCAGGGACTTTGCACTGAGGTGCATTTCCACCCCTTATTAATTTAATTTAATTTTGAGACAGGATCTTGCTAAGTTACTAGATTGCTCACGCAGGGCTTAAATTTGAGATCCTTTTGCCTCAGCCTTCCAGAGTCTTGCAATTACAGGAATGTGCCACCAAACGCAGCTTAGCTTATGTTGTCATTGTTGAACAATATTAGTTTGCAGTGTTTAAAATTATTTATTTGTAGCAGTATCAATTATTCATTAAGAACATGTGCACACAGCACTACTTTGGAGGTTTAGAGTAGGGATATTACATGATCCTGCATTTAGTGAGTTTCTAGAGACCTGGGGCCACCTGAGCCTTGACTGTTGTTATTTTGGTAACTGCTGTCATTTTCTTTAGGATCTTAAGTACCAGGCCCAGGATAACTTCATGATGATGGATGATGCTGTTCTCTGCATGTGTTTCAGCAGAGATACAGAAATGTTAGCAACTGGTGCCCAAGATGGAAAAATCAAGGTATGGATTAATGACATGAGCCCTTGTATGTAGACATTTTAAGTCTACAATGGGCAGTGTCTTATACATCATATTCAGCATAATAATAGCTATTATTTATTAAGCATCAACTTTTTGCTATTCACTTTGTTTTTCTGTATTTAATCCTGATAATAACTGACTGTAATAGTTCATTGACATGCTTAAGGTCACAGCAGTTGGTGAGTGATAAATCTGGAACTTCAGAACTGCTCATGGCTTCTGTTCTACCACTGGCTCACTATGTATGATGTATTGTACTGTGATTTTTTTTTTTTTTTTTTTGGGTACCAGGGATAGAACTCAGGTCCTGGCGCTTGCGCAGCAGGCGGCGAAACCACTGAGCTAAATCCCCGACCCTGATTTTTTTTTTTAAGGGAAAGTGTGTAGCCAATTAGATGTGGTTTGTATTTAAGTGCTGGTAATACATCCGGGGCTAGATAAAATACCGAAATGGTCTCTGCTAAATGAACTTAGTGTCTAAATTTTTGTTTTAATAATTTACAAGGAAAGAGTTTTCAGTTTCAGAGGATTCAGTTATCATTGTACTATGTGAACTAAACATATCATATTCAGCTATTAGCATGCATTTTTAATGCTGTTTTGGTACATCAGTGAGCATTGCATCTTACTTGGCTCTGTGGACTGTAGTGGAACACTGTATTTACAAGGTTTTTTTTAATCAATTTTTAAAATAAAGGTCTGGAAAATTCAGAGTGGACAGTGTTTAAGGAGATTTGAAAGGGCACACAGTAAAGGTGTCACCTGTCTGAGCTTTTCTAAGGACAGCAGTCAGATCCTTAGTGCTTCCTTTGACCAGACAATTAGGTAAGTAAGACTTGCACAGCTACCCTCACTTGGGTTTGATATAATGAGGCCCCAGAGGGAGGAGGCACTAGTAATTGTTTATGTCTTCACTAGGATGAGGTTTTATGGAGAGAGAGGATAAATGAAACCTTATGTCCCCAAAGTACAGCAAACAGTACTATTCTTTGGTCTATTTGAGTCTTTCCCCAGAAGAGAGGTTCAAAAGGGAGCAAGCAGTGATTCATGTTTCCCAAAGTATGGTCTGTGGCACCACCTGTATCATAATCACTTTAAAGGACCCAGGCCTATACAAGTAAGATTCCTGGGACCCAGCTGAGACCCACTGATTCTAAATCTCTTGTTTACCAGTGTTTTAGAGGTCCAACACTGAGAAGCTTGTATCGGTGACAGTTTTCTGCAAACTCTTTCTGTGCAGTTTTTTTGGTTTTGTTTTATTATTTGACCTAGTTAAAATTATATCTCATATAAAATTGCATAGCCTTTTTTCTTCATTTAATGTTATCATTTGAGCTTCTAATTTTAGTATATGTGCTGCTGAAGCGAGCACATCATTTGAGCTTCTAAGATTTACCCTAAATACATTTAACACTTGGCCTCAACCATAAAATTTTGACTATTAATTGTTCATTTGCTTTTATTTGTGATAGAATTCATGGTTTAAAATCTGGGAAAACCCTGAAGGAATTTCGTGGTCATTCCTCCTTTGTTAATGAAGCAACATTTACACAAGATGGACATTATATTATTAGTGCATCCTCTGATGGCACTGTAAAGGTCAAGTATTTTCTGGTGGTTCATTTGTGATGTTTGTTTTGTCTTTGTCCTTTGAGGAGACTGCAGTAGTGATGATGGTGATGATTATGATGGAATAAACCCTTTTGCTAATGAGGTGTATCTGAGACAAGATTAATATTCTGTGGGTAATCTCTGTTGACTTGAGGACCCCAAATGTTAAACCTATATAATCCAAACAAAGTTCATGATGTGTAGAAAAAGAGAAAATGTGCACAGTCCCAAACGTACATGATCCCCTGTTGACAAATACAGTGGTTAAATCATACCTTACCATAAATATGGCCTACTAACAGTCAACTCCACAAAAGGCTCAGTGGCCAAATATATTTTTTTGTTTCATGGCCTTACCCCACCCTGGCCCCCAAATTTAGGGCCTTCGTAGGAACATTTAGAGAGGAATAGGGGAGTTACAGAGTACAACTTAAGCCCTTTCTTGATTGCTTACTTGCTCTCAGCTCTCAACTGAAAGTAATGGATCGTCAGTATCTTAAAGGATTTAATTATTTAAAGAGAGGAGCTCATTTCCTGGAAAAGATAGGGAAAACCCAGGTAGAATATTGCTAGAGATCTTTGATCTCTAACATTAACATTCTGGACCTGCTACTTTTAAATTGTCTTATATAAGTGATGATTTGTGGTAGATGATTTAGACACTGACATAAAAGTCAGAGTACCCTCTGAAATTGTTCTTGGTTGGAGAATGAGCCAGAAACATGAAAGCAAGGAATGTACTCTCCCTTGGGGTGAGTGGGAAAACACATAGAGCTCTTACTACTTTAATAAAGGGGTTTGCTCTCTGTGTACACATGTGGGTCTCACACATTATAAATTCCATTGGGAGGTGGGTTGTGTAGGCCTCTTTGTGTTCTTTCCCCTTAGTTTTGCAGTAAGTGGGATAAAGCATCTCATTACCTTTTGCACAGAAAATACCTTAGAACTCTTGATCCCTGAAATGTTCATTTTTCAGAGATGTTTCATTTTGCAGAGAGAAGATTAGGGCAGGTGATGGCTTCTACACTGGGGAAACTAATAGGGCAACTATTTCCTTCTGCTTATGGATATTTATTAAACATCTGTGTTGTGCCAAGCTCTGTGTGAGACAGAGTGTGCCTCAGAAGTTTTTATGCCTCATTAGATGAGTAGTGTTTGATCCATCTCTTCTCTAAGCATAACTCAGATTTCTGGGCTAATTTAAACCCTTCAGTTCATCAGAGCCCAGAAGGACAATGTAAAAACTGGGAGAATTCATACAAGTGGCTGAGTGGCTTCCACTTCATAGATCCTTATGTGGGTGCTGTTGACTCTGTTCAGTTCTCAGCACATATTGTATATTAGAATCATTTGGGGAACTTCAAAAAAAATGCCCATGTCTGTGTCTCACTCCAGACCTCCCAAATCAAAATTTGAGGATAAGGCCTGAACCTAAGAAGTTCCCCTTTGTTTTTTGTTTTTTGTTTTTTTTTGGTACCGGGGATTGAACTTGGGTGCTTGTGCTTGCACAGCGGGCATTGAAACCACTGAGCTAAATCTCCGGCCCTCCCTTTTGGTTTTTATGTCCAGACAAGGGTACCCTTCTGGTTGTTTATGACAGTAGTAGTGCTGACACATAACTTCATTTCAAAGATAAAGATAGGTAGTCGGTTAACTAGAGAAGATTTACAAGAAAAGATCATAGATTTTAAAAGGTTTTTATTGGGCCTGGGATTTAGCTCAGTGATGCCATGCCTGCCTGGCAAATGCAAGGTCCTGAGTTCAATTCCCAGTACCAAAAAAAAGAGGTTTTATTATTTAGTGTGACTGTTTTTTTTTTTCCTGCAGTGCTAGGGATTGAACCAGGTCCTCACATATACTAGGCAAGTGCTCTTCTGTTGAGTTGTATTCCCAGCCATTATTTTATTTTGAGACAGGGTTTCACTAAATTGGCCAGGCTGGCCTTGAACTTGTAATCCTCCTGCTTCAGCCTCTCAGGTAGCTGGGATTACAGCTACCATGGTGTGTGCCACCATGCCCTGTGTGACTGTCATTTATTCCAGTAGAATAAAGTAAAAGTGCTTACCATATACTTGGCAATCCTGGTTATTTGATTGTACTTTTTGTTTTGAGTCAGTTTTTCTTTTACAGTAACCTAAATTTGTATATTTTTTTAAGCCATAAAACTTTAGAAATTCTTATACTCAAAAAATGTTTATGGTTTAATTTTGTTTGTGGCAGATCTGGAATATGAAGACCACAGAATGTTCAAATACCTTTAAATCCCTGGGCAGCACTGCAGGGACTGACATTACTGTCAACAGTGTGATTTTGCTTCCTAAAAACCCAGAGCACTTTGTGGTGTGCAACAGATCGAACACAGTGGTCATCATGAACATGCAGGGGCAGGTGAGTGCTCAACAAGTACCTTTGCACAGAAGCTGGTCTAGCCCTCCCTGTAACCATGTAATGCTTCAGTACTCTGTAAACAGCCTAAGATATATTTACTTTTCAGACACTTGCTTAAACTATGCCTCTATAAAACATCTTTTTGGTGTTTTGAAGTTATTTCCTTGCCCCAGGATATTTGTATATTATGCTGTATTTCATCCTTTGGATAAATGAGGCCCTGATCTACTTTCAAGCGTTTTGTAGAACTTCACTTTCGATTTTAAGATAACAGTCTTTGTCTCTGTTAAGGAGATACAGGGTGGTATGGATTACCAATTTGGGACATCTCCTAGCTACCACATGAGTTAAAGTGGAACACTAATGAGAGAAAGGCAACAGTGTCCTCATGGTCTGTATTTGTAATCAAGATCCCTGGAAGTTTCCAAGGGATCTCATTTTTCTGTGAGACTATGAGGTAGAACTGGGAACATAGAAACATCAAGGTTGAGGTCCCACGTTCTGAGTGTGTGGCACAGTGCTATTGAAATGTTGGTCTTGGCACTTGGGGATCTTGCTGAGCATGGAGAAGACTCAGGGCTGGTGTGATATATTCTGTCTTCATTATTTGAGTCCTGTGCCTGAAGCAGTAGTAGTTCCAAACCTATAGCTGAGAAGGCTGGTCTGCAGTATCTGTCAAGTCAGTGCATAGTAGCCATAGATACCCAGTGCATCTGCTGAGCACACGTACAGTTCTCGGCTCGACTTTTTAAAGATTTTATTTTGAAGAAAAATTTATTTTAAAATTTTCTTTTGTTTGAGAAAATAATTTTATAGTCACATTGAAGTTGCAAGAATAGTACAGAGAGGTCCTATGTGCCTACCCTTTTACCAGCTTCTTATGGTAACATCTTAAATAACAGTAATATCATTAACAAAACTAGGAAATTGACATTAGTACAATACTGTTAACTCAATTACAAACCTTATTTGAATCTCACCAGTGTTTACATGGATTTGTATGTTTTTTTAAAGGCAGGAATATAATAGTTTTATAATGTTTTATCACATGTATAAATTCATGTAATAACTACAGTAATAATGCAGAACTGTCTCATCATTTCCAAAGGGATTTTCTCATGCTGTGTCTTTATAATCCCACCTACTCATAATCTTTTCCATTATTACAATTTTTTCATGAAAAAATAATTTGGTTTTTCATAGTAGTTTAGGTTCATAGCAAAATTGAGCAAGATACAGAGATTTTCCACATACTGCCTAATCCCACACATCCAGAGGCTTCCCTGTTATCATGATTCTCTACCAGAGTTGTATATTTGTTAAAATTGACTAACCCACTGTTGGCATACCTTACATACCTTTACTGCCATAGTTTACAGTAAGCCTCAATTTTGATGTACATTCTGTGTGCTTTTGGACAAATGTATGATGGAGACTGTGTCTACCATTATAATACCACAGAGTAGTTTCAGTACCCAAAAAAATCCTCTGCTAAAATCCTGTTTTAGTGCTATTAATCCTCCCCTTACCTCTGATTTCTGAAAATCACGATCTTTTTATTGTTTCTATATTTTTGCCCCTTCTAGAAAGTAATATAGTTGAAGTCATATAGTATGCAACCTTTTCAGATTGACTTTTAAAAATAATATGCATTTGTTTCCTCTTTTGTTCATGGCTTAAAAAGTCACCCCCATCTCCCCCCACCCCTTTCCTCCCTCCTTTCCTTTTTTCCCTTTCCCTTTCCCACTAGGAATTGAACCCAGGGCCTTCCCTAGCCCTTTATTTTGAGACAGGGTCTTGCTAAATTACCTAGGCTGGCCTTGAACTTGGAATCCTTGTGCCACAGCCTCCTGAATAGCTGAGATTACAGGCCTGGGCCACCTTGCCTGGCTAGCTCATTTCTTTTTTTTTTTTTTGGTACCTGGAATTGAACTTGGGTCCTTGTGCTTGCGAGGCAGGCAGTGGAACCACTGAGCTAAATCCTCGACTCATTTCTTTTTATAATAACTAATATTCCTTGTCCAGATGTACCAGTTTATTCACCTACTGAAAAAATCTTGGTTGCTTCTAAATTTTAGCAATTACAAATAAAGCTGCTATAAACATCCATTTGCAGGTTTTTGTGTGAACATGTTTTCAGCTCTTTGGGGTAAATAATACCAAGTAGTGCAGTTGTTGGGATATATGGTTAAGTATATTTAGTTTTGTAAGAAAGTGGCAAGATTGCCTTCCAAAAGTGTCTATCATTTTGTGTTCCCATGAGCAACAAATGAGAGTTCTTATTGCCCCCACATCCTTGCCTGTCCTGGGTCTTGCCAGTGTTTGGTATTTTGGCCATTATAATAGGCGGTATCTCATTCATTGTTTTAATTTGTATTTCCCTAATGACATATGATATCATGTGGGACATCTTTTCATATGCTGTTCCCTTTGGTGAGATAGTGTTAAGGTCTTTGACTTACTTTTAAATTGGGTGGTTTGTTTTTTTACTGTTGAGTTTTCAGAGTTCTGTATATATTTTGGATAATAGTCCTTTACAAAATACGATTTTTGCAGATACTTTCTTTCAGTCAGTGCCTTTTCATTCTCCTTACAGTGAATTTCACAGAGCAGAAGTTTTTAAATTTTAATCAAGTCCAGCTTATCAATTCTTTTCTTCATGGATTGTGCTTTTGGTATTGTATCTAAAAACGTCATCACCAGACTTATGATTATCTAGATTTTCTCCTATCTTCTATGAGTTTTATAGTTTTAACATTTATGTATGTAATTCATTTTGAGTTAGTTTTTGTGAAAAGTGTGAGGTCTATGTCTATAGAGTCATAGTTTTTTTTTTTTTTTGGTACCTGGGATCAAACTCGGGACCTTGTGCTTGTGAGGCAGGCGGTGGAATCACTGAGCTAAGTCTGCGGCCCTGGAGTCATAGTTTTTCCTGTGATGTCTAATTGTTTTTGAAAAGCCTTTTTTCACTCCCTTATATTACTTTTGTTTCTTTGTGAAAGATCAGTTAGCTATATTTATATAAATCTCTTTCTGGTCTCCTTATGCCATTGATCTGTTACATTGTAGTACCAAACTGTCTTGATTACTATAGCTTTATAGTAAGTCTTGAAGTTGGGTAATGTTAGTCCTCCAGCTCTGTCCTCTTCCTTCAATATTGAATTTGCTATTCTGAGTCTTTTGTCTCTCCATATAAATTTAAGAATCATTTTATCAGTGTCCGCAAAATAACCTGCTGGGATTTTGATTGGGATTGCACTGACTCAGTAGATGAAGTTGGGAAGACACCTTGACTATTTTTAGTCTTCCTATCCACAAACATGCAGAGCCTGTCAATGGGATAGCTCTCTATGTAGTTCTTTGATGCATTTCATCAGAGTCATGTAGTTTTCCTCATATAAGTCTTGTGAAGATTTTGTTAGATTTATACCCTTTTCTTTTGAGAGGATGCTAATGTATTATGTCATTTTAAATCCTAATTCCTGGCAGTCACTAATTACTTTCCATTATTATAATCTTGTCATTTTGAGGATGGTATATAAATAGAATCATACAATATATAACCATTTGATCTTTTGAGATTGCTTTCTTTTTTGAATTGATTTGTGATGATTCTAATGTTACAGAAATAGAGCAAACAGTCTTAAGAGATAGTTCCATCTTGCGAAAGAATTACCATCACCTTCATTAAAAAGAGGAAACTTGGGGGGCCTGGGGATTTTGCTCAGTGGTTTTGCTGCCTGCTGCGCAAGCGCAGGGACCCTAGTTCGATCCCCGGTACCACAAAAAAGAGGAAACTTGGGCCAGGGATTTAGCTCAGTGGTTCCAGCACCTGCCTTGAAGCGCAAGGTCCCGAGTTCGATCTCCGGTACCAAAAAAAAAAAGGGGGAAACTTGGGAACATAAGTCTAGAAAGCATTGAAAACTAGAATTGAGAATTTGCAATTCTGAAAATTGTATATTTGGTAATGAATTTCTTTCTGGGTAATATAGTCAGTACACTAAAGAGCAGGATTGGTAAGTTGGATGTATAAATTCAAATTTTCTGTCTCCTTGCTTTAGGTAGCTTATTCTATTCACTGAAGATTTCTGAGGCAAGATGATTTAGCACACAATATACAATGTAAAAATGTCAGTTTTTAAAATGCTGCCCATGGTTGTGCTGCTGCTAATCGTGATGCTCTGTTCTTGTCTTGGACTGTGGTGTGCTGTAGATTGTCAGAAGCTTTAGCTCTGGTAAAAGAGAAGGTGGTGACTTTGTGTGCTGTGCCCTGTCTCCTCGTGGTGAATGGATCTACTGCGTGGGAGAGGACTTTGTGCTCTACTGTTTCAGCACAGTCACTGGCAAGCTGGAGAGAACTTTGACAGTAAGTAATACCAAGGTCATCTAAAGAAATTATGGCAATGCTTGTGTCTTTCTATACTCTGAAGTACACACCTTTTCCAAACAGACTGCTATCAGTGTGAGCCTCAGTATAAAAAAAAAATGTAATGGAAGCTTTTTATCACAGAGCAAAACTATGGGTAAATTATATGAAACTGCTTCCATTATCAGGAAAAGTCATTCTTCAGCAACCCTCCCAAAGTTCAGGTGGATAGAATGAGTGTACAGAAAGTAGAGAAGGAAGTATATATATATATATATATATATACACACACACACACACAGATAAATATACTGATATATACATATATATACTGATACACACACACTCTCCCTCCCTCCCTCCCTCCCTCTCTCTCTCTTTCTCTCTCTCTCTCTGGTCTAGCCAGCCAGATTGGTCATCTCTTTCTCATCGGATTAGTAATAAATACAGGTACTTTCCTCCATCTTATTTTCCTGGTATTGGGGATTGAACCCAGGGCCTTCACACTGAGTTACATCCCCAGTCTCTTTTAAAAGAATTTTTTTTATTGTAAGACAGTATCTCACTGTCACTAAATTGTCCAGGCTGGGTTTGATTCAACTGCCTGAGCCTCCCAGAGTGGTGGGCTTACAGGCGTGCTCCACTATCCCTGGCTTTCTGTATCCTTTTGAGTGCACATTATCCTTTCAGATTAAGATATTTTTAAAACTTTGTTTTATGATATTAAAGTCAGTGCAAGGAGTAATTAATACCAGCTGCTCTAACAGTCCCCAAAGTGGCTTAATGCAATAAAACTTCTATGTCCCATTGTGATGTGAGTTGGATGGCCACCCTCTTTTAGCTGTGCTGTTGGAATATGTGGTCTCTCAAGATCTCTTCTTTGCTCCCATTCAGTTCTGGAAACCTCTTCAGAGTCATCTGTTACAAACCAGAGCATCCTAATTGTGCTTTACCTCTTCCAGGTTCACGAAAAGGATGTGATTGGTATTGCACATCATCCTCATCAGAACCTCATTGCTACCTACAGTGAAGATGGACTCTTAAAGCTCTGGAAACCCTAATTCAACTTTTCTTTTAGAAAAAGAAAAAGCTGAAAGCATGTACTTAAATGAAGACATACTCATATGTATGTTGCTGTTTTTTTTTTAAGGCCAGCTTTTCTAAGCAAAAATATTGTCTGATTAGCCATAAGAATAATTTTGTGAAACTTCATGTTTAGCAGTTACCTTTCTTAAAATAATTCTTTGGGCCAGGGATTTAGCTCAGTGGTTCTGCCACTTGCCTCACAAGCGCAAGGACCAGAGTTCGATCTCTGGTACCAAAAAAAAAACCCAACTTTTTAAATGTATTTGTTTTCTTTTGCTTTGCCAGTGCCAGGAATAGCACCCAGGGCCTCACACACATTAGGCAAATGCCCTTTGAGCTATAGCCCCAGCCCATAGTCTGTCTGCTTCCAACAGGACCAGTCACTTAAATGTTTTCATCATTCTTTCCTGGAGAGTGAAGTACTGGTATTTTTTTTTTAAATTCCTTTTGATTATTTGAAATGGTTAAAATTTGCCTGTCATAAAACTTGTAAATAAGTGCCCAGAATTCAGTAGCTATGTCCCCGCCCACCCATTTTTCAAGATGTTAATAAACTTTACACCTTTCTGGAGATTGCAAATAAGTGCTCATTTAGTTACTATATTTAGAAACAAATGCAGAGAGAATGGAGAGAAATCATCATCATCCCTGAATCTTAAGTCCAGCAGGAAGTCATTTCCTGGGATAGGACAGACTGATGTTAGTGAAACCAGCGAGGTAATGTAAAGGATCTCATTTCACTGCCCTTGCAACCACTCACTGTGGGCTACACCTTCTCACATGATTATTGTCTGCATCTTCTGGATGGAGCTAGTTGTATGTCAGCTATGAGAATTGAGTTTTGGAATCTCTTGTATGTGGAGGTGTGTTTGTCATTGAAAATGTGTTGCTGTTCTGAAGCAAAACTAGAAGAGGACCTGACATTTTTAGAAAAGTCTCTTATAATGTGCATATTTACCAGTTAGCTAAAGAAAAACATTTTTAAAGTTGCTGGGTGTGGTGCCACATGTCTGTGATCCCAGCTAAACCTAGGCCCTCTTGAACATTCAGACAAGTACTCTCCCACTGAGCTATATTCCCAGCCAACAGTTTTCCAAAATACTTTGATGTGGATGTTTCATTTCACACTGAAGATGGACTTAACTAGTTCAAGGAAGTGAGATACTATTTCTGTAAATTTATTTTCTTACAAATTGTTTTTTTTTGGTACCAGGGATTGAACTCGGGACCTTGCACTTGCGAGGCAGGCGCTGGAACCACTGAGCTAAATCCCAGGCCCTGTAAATTTATTTTCATTGTTACCACAAAGTACAAACTTGGGAAGGTTTAAAAAATTTTGCATTCTACTTTACCTTTGATTTGAAATGTAGCCTAATTCTATGCCTACATACAGTTGTGCTCAATGTTGGCTGAACTTACTTTTTATACCAAGAAATCCCTTGAGCCAGGGATTTAGCTCAGTGGCACTGAGCAAGCGCAAGGTCCTGAGTTCGATCCCCAGTACCAAAAAAAAAAATCCCTCTTTCCAGTTAACTTTTTTTTTCCCTGGCAGTACTAGGAATTGAACCCAGAACCTTGAGCAGGCTAGGCAAGCGCTCTACCAAAGAACTATACCCTTAGCCCTCTAGTCGTGTAACTTCCCTTTTGCCACAAAATCTGCAGCTTTTGTCTTTTGTAATGTCACTTATTGCCATTTTGATGTTTTAAGAAATGCTAAGGGGCTGGGGATTTAGCTCAGTGGTGCTGCTCCCTGCCTTGCAAGTGCGAGGTCCTGAGTTTGATCCCCTGCACCAAAAAAAAAAAAAAAAAGGCCTACTGGTAGTTTAAAAAAATTCCTTTGAGTTGATTAAAATGTGCCTCCCTCCCATCATAAAACTTGTAAATAAGTGTCCAACTCAGTAGCTGTGTTCTGTCCCCATTAGTTCAGAATGTAGTCTGCCATCCCAGCTGAACCACCCAGGGTTTGGTATATAGTAGGCAAGTCTGAAAAGTTGAATTTCTCATGCAGTGCTTCACCTCGAACTTCAACTAGCAGTTGTAAAATGCAGTTTGTGTTTATAAAGATAAAAGAATTTAGCACACATATATTTATTCATTTTGGGAAGTTTTCTTTTGGTACTAGGAATTAAACTCAGTAGCACTCTTTAAAACTAGGCTATATCCCCAGCCTTTTAAAAATTTGAGACGGGGTCTCATTAAGTTGCCTAGACTGGCCTTGAACTTGTACTTGCAATTCTCAGCCTCCTGAATAGTTGGGATTATAGGTGTGTGCATGGTACCTAGCTATCTGTGTTCAAGGAATTTTGTGGAACACTTCTGTTCCTGGCACCAAATGTCAATGGTTCAAAATTACTAGTCTCTTACTGCAGGGAAGAGCAAGATAAAAGGAGTGTTAAATAGTGTGATTAGAAACTTGGGAGTTTTTTTGGTAATGTGGGCAGCTGATCCAACCAGCTGTTGGGAAAGGCTCCCTGGAGATGATTGTAAAAGGACCAAAGGGGCTGGAAATAAAGAATTTTGGCTTCTGACTTACCAGAAGGAAGCTTTCCATGAACTATTTAGTAGCAAGGCAAGCAAATCTTGAATTAGTAGTTTTTTTGAGGCCAGGCAAAGACAGATTGGAATCTTTTCAGTAAAATGCATTCAGTCTAATAAATGTAAAATTAGAAACATCTGCCTTATTGAGAACCCTTCACAGGATAACTTTTATTAATCTTTCAATTTCATTTCCTACAACCCTTAGGACATGGTGTTCTTAAGAAATGAACACTCATCACTACCCAGACCTCTGGTGGGAGTGGGGGTGGTGGTGGTTGTGAAGGCCCAAGGTTGAACCATCAGTTGAGCAGCACTCGAGTCTGGACCTAGATCCCTGGTGAGGTAGCCCCTCCCCGAAGAGGGGCTGGGGCAGGGTGAGGCACGGGGTCAGAGCCAAGGGACAGCCAATCTGGTGGCACCACTGGGCCCTTTTCCTCCAGGGATCCTGGTATGGTTTAGTGGTAGGGGCTGGTGGAAGTTGTGTACCCAGACAATCTGCACTACTTTGTAAGATGAAGTGTAGAGTGAGGCCTGGGAGATCCTCTGCCACCCACGACTTAACTGATATCCCTTCTTGAGCGTATAAAACCTAAAATGTGTGGCATAAGTTCATTTTACCCTCCACTCAGTTATTATAATGACTAGAAAACATTGTACAGAGCACCTTGACTTACGGAACTTGATCAGTTCCCAAGGGCTGGTTGTAACTAAGTCAATACAGCTGAAATCTGGATGTTTGGACCTGGGTACACTATATAACAAGAGGCAGATGAATCTTCCATTCACCTAATTAGCCCAAGTTGTTTGTATGTCAGGCGAGTCATAACTTGGGGGTCACTGTACCTTCTGACAAAGCTATTTCAAGGCATCCTTTTTGTTTTTCTGAGATAGGATCTCCCTACTATGTGGTTCAGGCTGTCCTTGAACTGCATAGCCCAAGCTGACCTTGAACTTGCGGGAATCCTGCTTCAGCTCGAATTATAGGCATGAATAAAACAGCAAATGATACAAATCTCAAGCACAGTACCTTTGAATTTGTATTAACTACTTCCACAATTAACCTCTAATTAAGCCCTTTCTACTGTGCAAGCAACCTTATTTCTAAGAACCTTATGAGGAACATCCTACTTAAGACCCATACAAAGAAACCGGTTTCCAGATCGAAGGCTCCTCAAACTGCACGGAGCGCACATTGAAAACCAAGTAATCTCTATCATCTACCTCCTTTGAATCTTGCCTGTGTCTCCCCTTTAGGAGGTTTGAGCTGAGGCAAAGAATTCATAGACTGTTTCCATTGTTAAAATATTTACCGAAGTAGAACACAGGTGGTGAGATGAATAGAAAGCACTGCATTACAAGTCTGGATTCTCTAGTCTTTGCTGTCATATTTTTCTCAGGCTAGACCACTGGTTTGAAAGGCAAATTCTTAGGACCTATTCCAGACCAACGTAAGTAAAAACTGGTGGTGGGGCCAAGAAAGTATGTTCCAATTTGAGAACACTGGAGAGTAGCTTCTTGACAGGTACAGTAGTCGTTTTAAGTGCTATAAAGGTTGCTGAGATAACCAATTTTAGAAAGGTGCAAAACCAGTATTTATATTCTGTAGCTTGCTAGCACTTTTGTATTTCCATTTTCCAATATTTCAAAAGAAAATTTTCTATCTAGTATATATTTAAATTGAGTGGGAAGTTTTGCTGACCTGAACTTAAAACTTGCAGAAGCAAGGGCTACACCATTATTTGACCTGCTCCAACAGTGCCAATACTGTTGAGAGTGACTAATCTAGCTTTATCCCCATGCTGGTGGTTCTCAACCTCAGCTGCACATAATCATCTTGATGCTTAGGCTAAACAGTTTAATTATACCCAAATCCCTGGAGGGTGTGACTTGTGCCTACTTTTCAACCCAAGTGTTCCCTAAGTGTGAAACTTCAGACTACTACCAGATTACAGTAGATTCAGCAGAACCAGACAGACTATATATGCTAGTAGTTAGGAAGTTTTTAAAGCCCCCTTTTTCTTGACTCAAACCCAGGCCTCCACTTTTCATTCCCTATCCATGTTTAGTATTAATTAAATAGTAATTTTAAGTGAAACAAAAAATTATTAAAAGCAAATGCTTTGATAGTAAGAAAAAAAGCCTGTAGTGACACATTAGAAGTGCTTTGTAATCAGTGTATTAAGGAGACATTCATACATTTCAACAATTGCTTAAATTCTAATACCCAGATTTAAGCTTGTGAACATGACTTAAACACACAAGTAAAGCTATTCATCATAATTTGCTGTACTATTACCATTAAATTACAGTTACTTTGGAGCATAAGTCAAATGGGTTAAAGTAAGCCTGTAACATACCTAAGGAACACCTTCTTATATTACACATGCAAATTAGCTTTCCATGTAGTCTCTTCACTTTAATTTCCAAGTTACCCTTTTATTTCAAACCTCTGAAGTCACTAAGGGTTTATCACAGTCCAAAGAGAAGGGAAAAAGAATGTAACCAGGACTGGCCAACATAAGTTTTTTATATATATTTAAAAAGATGGCACAACAGAAGGGAATGCAATCCTAGAAATGCAAACCCTTAAGATGCAGCATTATGATAAACCCCTTCTTCAGAAAAGTATCATTTCTATTACTGATACCACAGGCTAAATTATATTTTATGCCACCTTGAAGTAATAGTTGAGGCAATAGAATGCAGAGACATCACAATGAGTCCAACTTAATACAAATTAACTAGACAGAACAACACTTCTACAAACTGTTTCCTTTTTCTCATTGCCAGTTAAATACAGTTTTAATCCATAGCTTAACAAGGAAGGGTCATACACTAAAGTCAACACATACCTAGCATTTCAGTCTAAGCTTGTCCATGTATACAACTGCAATCAATTACAATTTATGGCCTACCAGACACCAGGGTTAGGTACTTTTTACAGGCATTAAACTTCACCTTGCACACTGAAGTCATCATACATACAGGGCAAAGTCGGAGCTTTTATATTTGCGTTTATTCTTCATTTAACTTTTAAAGCACTACTATAATTGAGTATTGAAACAAAAACAATAGCAAGTAGTGAGGAGATGATTATAGTCCTTTGTGTGTTCACTACTGCACACAAAATGCCAGCAGTGAGTATTATTCACTGCCCCATTAAGAGGTCTGACACTGAACACCACCCCTGGGATGATGTTCGTCATTCTCATAGGCTTCTCCATTATAATGGCGCCGTCTTTCCTGATTCGGATCAAAGTCCACGAGTTCTACCTGATCCATTTCATCTGTCTCTTCTACTTCCTTCCTCTCGGGTAGGAGTTTTTCCAGCAAAGAGAGTTTATCAGGAGAGAGAAAGCCATTTTCAGGAAAGTTTACCTACAAAAAGAGATTTCTACTGTTAAATTTTATTTCATTATTAGTGCCTTACAATATCATGAAAATATTTCCTCAGAAAAACACATGTAACCACAATGTGTAGGTGAAATCTACCAATCCCAGGTTAAAACACTTGCTCTGAAAGGCAGTGCCTAACACTATGCTAGAGTTTAAGAATTACGATAAAAGGCAGGTCTTTAAAACAAAACAAACTGGTTCTAAGCTGGGTGTGGTGTTGAGGATCTGGAATCCCAGCTATTTAGGAGGCTGAAGCAGGAGGATCACAAGTTTGAGGCTGGTCCAGACAACTTTGTGAGATTGTCTTAAGATAAAATTAAGAAAAAAGAGAGCTAGCTGAAGACATAGCACTCCCTGGGTTCAATCCCCTGTACTACAAAAACCAAAAGCAAAACAAAATACATTCTAGCATTGCTCTACACATCAGATAGAACCTATCCTGAAATGGTCTAATCATTGAAACTTTAGGCTATTCTGGCTAAAAATTGTCCATTCCTCACCCAAAGACATTTAACGAACACATCTCTGGGTGAAAGGCCAATTCAAAACTGGGGAAAATGCTTATGGATTATCCTATTAACAAACTAAGCATTATAGCACTTCACTAAAAAAATCTACAATTATAAAATGGTTCTGCTGAACTTTAAGATCCTAGTTTTTCTTTTTTTTCCTGGAGACAGTCTTGCTTTGTAGTGCAGACTGGCCTAGATCTCACAGAGATACTCCTACCTCAGCTCCCAAGTGCTGGGATTAGAGGCATGCACTACCACACCTAGCAAGATGCTACTAGTATTAAAGGTCCCCTTCCCACTAATGTTGGGGGCCAAAGCCAAGGCCTTACATATGCCAGTCAAGTGCTAACACTAAGCTATACACCCAGCCCTAATTATAGCCTTTCATTAAAGTATCTACTTGCCATGCACCCTTCTCCCAGGTCTTTAAAATAGCCTATAATAATGCAGATAATAATGATGATGATGTAAATAAACCTAGCCCAACTCATTAATAAGCAATGCCCAACACAATAGGAGTTGTATTAGAGATTAATGTACTTCTCTTCCTGGACATTGGGGATAAAAATGAGGTTGCTTGGCACTCAGAAAATGTAATTCTGTATTAGATTTTAGTAAACAATTCTCAAATATCCCTGAGTATTTTATAGCTTACCTTAAATTCAATAATTAGACGACCCTTTTCATATGGTCTACGATAAATTGGCATGCCTTCATTTAGCACACACTTGATGTCTCCATGCTTGACAATCTGACCTAAAAACATTGAAGCCAAGTTCTTAAGTACGGTCACATTTTTAGAGGACAATGAAAACAACAGGACAATGCAAACAACAAAGGAAATATCCTAGCTAATTGATAGGAGTAAGTTTTACGTGACAAAACAATCCTAGTATCTCCATAAATGAATTTTCCAGGAGCTGCCAAAAAGAGCTAAGACTTTATGACCTTATGTCAGTCCAGGAAGGGATTATGTGACAGAGAAAGAAAAAAACACTAATTTTTTTTTCAGTGCCTATGGTTAGTTACAAGAAGATGAGGAAAACGTTAGAATAAAGAAGCTCATCTAGATACCATACCTGGATGAGAGGTGATGACTATGGTTCGGTTGTCAAGAGTGGATATTGGCTTTTGGAAGCCACACAGTGCTTCAACCAGCTGTATATCCATACACATGAAAAGGTCTTCTCCTCGTCTGTATCAATGCAAATATGGCACACATTTACACCTTTCAAACCACAATGATTCATTACCACAACAAGTAATTGTTTTCTTCTTTAACAGCCAAGGTGTCTTTCATAGACATTTCTCCTTCCCCATTTAAAAAATCAAATAGAGCCAAGAACTGCAAATAAAACATGTGGAACCTGCCAGCCCTAGTTCCTGGACAAGATTTCAAAATTCTTCCACACATTATAGGCAAGCTCTTTTAATCACTATTCCTGAACTGTTTCATTACCCAATTTTAAATCTAGCTGTTTGTTTTGGTGGTTTAAAGAACAGAAATTTATTTTCTCGTGGTTTTAGAATTTTTTAATTGGTACATGTGTGATACACACTCAATACATTCATTGTGAGAAGTTGGCACATGTAGATGCCAAATCTTAATCCTTTACTTCCTCCATGTAGTGGTAAATGCCTGTAATTCCAGCGACTCAGGAGACTAAGGCAGAAGAATCACTAGTTCAAGACTAGCCTGGGGAAAACTTCAAAAAGTGCTGGAAATGTTGCACACGTGAGGGCCTGAGTTCAATTCCTAGTATGGAGGGAATGGGGATGCAGAAGCAGGTGTAAATTTTCACAAAATTGATGAAGAAAAAAATCAACACACATTAGGGTAGAGGACATTAGTGTGTAAATTGGAAGACTTGGGCTGGATTCTAAATTATCTAGGCTGTCTAAAATTAAATAATGGGGATATGACCAATTTCAAGGAATAGAACTATGTATTATGAAACATTTAATATATAGTGCCTAGTACACTGTGAGCGAACACAATTTTTTTACTTTTATGCAATACCCAACCTTCTCCTCATGCTCCCATTTTTTCCCAATAAACATCTTTGATTAGATAGACCACCACCCAGGAAATACTCCTGAAACATTTACCTCAATGATAGGAGTACAACAGTAAACTTGACAGCGGTTCTCATTAATTTTTAAAGTATCTGTAAAATATCCTATTATAATTAATTTAAAACTAGTTTTAATTTTAAACTAGTTCTATATGTTTTCTCCAATCATACCTTCACTCCATTGTATTTTGAAATTAGCCCTGGACATATTTAACACATTCACTATTAATCAACTTTCTTGTACTTGAGTTTAAGTTCATCATAAATTTAGTCTTAAATACTTACAACAGACTTGAATTTATAGTTTATATCAAGTCCCAATTTTAATTCTTTTTTTTTGTTACTGAGGATCGAACTGAGGTTCTTAGAGCTTGCAAGGCAGGCACAGCGCCACTGAGCTAAATCCCTGCCCCCCCCAATTTTAATTAGGTTTTAGATATTTACATCTAACAGCAGTTCAATTCATCACAAACTCAGGACTAAAAATTGGTTAAAAAAAAAACTACACTATTTACTGTGAATTAACTATTTATAAGGTTAAGGGCAAAACTTTGTCTAGGCATGTTCCCCCATAGCTACCTACTACCCCATTTATGTTCATACAGAACTTCTAACTGAAATACTCCTTTTCAAGTATCAGATTAGCTAATAGTAAGTATACCCTGAGACAAACACAAAAATTGAAATCTATTTGTTTGCAGCCTTTTTTATGACTGAAACATACAGTTAACAAACTTTTACAAGGGATATCATACATAGCCAAATTTTCATGCTATGTTTCCAGGTATTTTCAGAAACTATGTTCTAACAGTAATATGTCTCATTTAATTCAAAACAAAACAATCAGATATACAAGATGTCCATTTGAATGGTTAAATCTTTACCGAGTGAAAATAGCATGGTCCTTCTGATCTAACACAATGATAATATCTCCTGGCTCCAGTCCTGGTTCTTGGTCTCCTTCACCATGGAATGTTATCTTCTGGCCATCTTTCATGCCTAAAAACAAAAGACTAATAAAGTCAGAACCACAAAATCTACTAAAATACCTAGATATGTTTGTGTGAGCATGTAAAATAAAACGCTTATGTCTTTGAGTATGCTAAATACCACAGAAATGATTAAGAAAACCCACTCAATTAGTTCAATCCAGTTTGCTACCCAAGAAAGCTATTTCACAAGAGAATACAAACTAGAAGCACACAAGGCTTCCAATTTCAGAGCTGCTATTTACTGGCTGGATTACTCTGGGGAAGAACGTTGCATACTCTTCCTAAGTCTCCACTTTCCCACAGAGATACCTACCTCATTAAAGCTGCTGAGAGGATTAAATAAAAATGTCTATGGTGGCACCAAATCAATACTGCCAAACATAACCAAAAAATGTAAACTATTTTAATTGTATTAGTTAAGAATCTATACCCTATTACTTCTATTAAGCCTAGTGTACATCAACTTTCTCTGCTACTGTGTTAGCAATGTAACAGGAAATCTATAAACTAAAAAATTTAAAAATCCATAATCTTAGCAAGAAATGGAGAAGAGAGGAAAAGGTGATAAAGAGTGTTATGTACCAATCCCCACAGTGAATGTAATCATTATGTACTGCAAACATGTACTAATAAAAAAGAATAGACAAAAAACAAATGGTGAAAAGGCATCCCTCCCACACAAATTCATAATCCTAGTTCTGGGAGTGTACCTCTGTGGGAGAGCACTTGGCTAATATGTGCATGGGCCTGCTTTCACTTTCCCAAGCACTGCAAACAAGCAATCAAAATCAACCAAAACTACTGTGAAGAGGAGAGAAGGTTTACTTCTGGACACACCATTAGCTAATTCTGTCAATGCCAAAAACATAAGTAGGAGTGTTTTCCTTTTTTTGGGTTTGTTTCAGACGGGGTCTCACTGTGTAGTTCAGGTTGGTTTTGAACTACGTAACCCAGGCTGGCCTCAAACTTGCAGTGATCTCCCTGCTGAGTGCTAGGATCACAGGTGTGTGCCATCACATTCAGCAGCATTTTCCAATAAGGAAAACACTTTTTAAAAAAATCAGTATTTTTAAAAAGTCTGCCTCACATATTTTGGTTCAGTAAGGGGTTCGACATCTCTTTAAATATAACTTATTCAAGAAAATCTTGTTTACAAATTACAACTGTAGGTGTTTCCTCTGATTATTTCCGGAACCAATGATCACTGACATCACCTGCCCTAAGCTATCTTCACTTTTTAGAATGGAAAAACATTAAACCCACAGTAATATAGTTAACAGTTCAATGACATTTCCTTTTGGGGGGAAGTACTGGGGACAAACCTAGGCCTTGTACATGCTAGGCAAGTGCTCTACCACTGAGTTATATATTCCCTAGCCCTTATAATGAGTTCCTATATATCCAGCAATCTAGAGTTAGTGGTTAACTCATGAGTAGTATTTTTTGTATTACACTTCCATCCAAATGTCCAATTAAGCAAAACCCAACCATATCCATGAATCCAACACTTCAGTATGGACTTAAAACTGTAAAACCAGTCGGTGTCATACAATGATAAAACTTAACAGTGTTTTCAAACTGTGTGAGGCAAAGTAACTATCTTGTCATTGTAGTAAAGCAATTAACTCAGCCAGGCACTCGTGACTGTTCCTTATTCCTATTAAGAGCAAAGCTTTAATAGCTTCATTTGCAATCAACATCCTAACAACATGCTGTTGCTGGCAAGAGATGTCTTAGGAAAACTCAAAATACTAACCCTGCTAATCAAGTTACAATGAGGGAAAAAACCCAAAGATTTGTAAAAATAAACTGGCCATGAAATTTTTTCTTTATATGGCATTGGGAGTGGAAAGGTAGTATGATTCACATGGTAGACTAGTTAATCCCTTTATACCATCAAGGGATTGGTCCAGGATCTACCCCAAATACCAAAATCTCCTGATTACTTATAACACTTAATAAAAAATGTCATGCAAAGTTGTTACATTGTATTTTTTAGGAATAACAAAGCAAAACCTCCAAATTTAATATAGATACAATTTCCCAATATTTTTAATCTGCAGTTGGCCAAACCTGCAGATATAGAATTCATAGAAATGGAGGGCCAGCTTTACTACTGCAGCCACACAACACAGATGTATTAATATGGAAAAAACATTCATAATATTAACAGTTCCAGATCATATATACTGTGTAACACATTTCATTTAAAATAGCAAAGGCTAAAAGATAATTAGCAGGTTCACTGTTTTACAGAATTACCTTTTCATTTTTCTTGGGGTTACACACATTTTTATTATGAACGTGGATTGGTATAATACATTTTTTTTGTTTTGTTTTGTTTTTTTGGTACCGGGGATTGAACTCGGGTCCTTGCACTTGTGCAGCAGGCGGTGAAACCACTGAGCTAAATCCCCGGCCCCTCTATAATACATTTTAAAAATTCTTAGAAAGTGGCAAAATTAAGAAACAAAATAATCAAACCCAAACAGTATGAAAAGTTAACCTGCAGCAAACATAAAAACTGTAAGTCTGTAATAAAGTTCATAAAGGAAAAAAAGTACAAGCAATCTAAGTTCTTAAACAAACAATCAGAACATTTTACTGAGCACAGTGGCACATGCGTGTAGGCCCCAGCTACTCAGAAGGCTGAGGCAGGGGGATGGTTTGAGCCCAGGGTTTCAAGGACAGCCAGGTGAACGTGGTCTTTGTCTCAAACAAACCCCAAAACCAGCCAGGGATGGTGATGTACACCTGACACCTGTAATCCCAGCTACTGGGGAGGGCCAAGGCATGAGGATTGCATGGGTTCAAAGACTGTCTGGGCAACTAAGTGAAATTGTCTCACAAGTTAAAGAAAGAAAAGTAAAGAAAAGGATGTAGCTCGGTGACAGAGTGCTTGCCTTGCATGTGAGGTTCTAGTATCACCTTCCCTTCTCAAGGAAACAAAATTTTAATACAAAAACAGACTTTGAACATGGACAACTAAGTACATGTAAACATGTTTAAAGCCGGGTGTGGTGGCATATGCCTGTAATCCCAGCACTAGAGAGGCTGAGTCAGGAGGATCTCTTTGAGTTCAAGGCCAGCCTGAACTACACAGTGAAACCTGTCTCAAATAGCAAACACACACAATCACATTCATCAGTTGAGGACAAATTTTAATGAGTTCATTCTTCACCCAATATCTTTAATCTAGTTCATTTATTGTGCCCACTTATGCCACAGAGATGATCCACTTACATTAAGGGAGGAGATTCAGGAACACACATATAACTGAATGAAGGACAGTGTTTTAAAAAGTTATAAACAGGGCCAGGGATTTAGCTCAGTGGTTTTGCCGCCTGCTGCGCAAGCACAAGGACCTGAGTTTGATCCCTGGTACCAAAACAAAACAAAAAAAGTTATAAACAGTAGTATTAATAAACTTGCCATGTCACTAAACTTTAGACTGGGAAATGGAACAGACAGAACTCACCTTTGTCAATGTGAACTTCTAGAATCTTCTTCTCTCTAACTATCTTCCTTCCGTTGCAGCTTTTACATCTATCTTTAGGACTGATGCGTTCTCCATGGCCCTGGCACTCCATGCACACAGACTGAATTTGCTGAACCATTCCAGGTCCTATCTGATGAATTCTTATTTGCATTCCAGTACCTCGGCAGTTGGGACAGCACTCTACAGCTCCTTTCTTACCACCTCGGCCTAAATAGTTAAAAAGAAAATTATGTACCAAGTTAGCAGCAATACAGTAACCAATGTTTTGGATAGGCTGTTCCTAAATACTATACTTTCTTAATATTTTCAAGGTCTCATGGAAGGATGTCCTAAGAATGTACAACTCAGGCTTCATTTGATAGTCATTTTAGAATCCTGAATTTTAAACATGTGCTCCTACAGCACAATTCTTAGAATCACTTCTTCTGTAAAAGATTTTAATGAGTTTATTCTTTTAGAACACACTGTATTTACAACAATCTACTAAAAAAAATTAGTTTGATCACAACTACATTTAGAACATACATGTAGAACTAAACGTTACTTTGCTAACATATTAGTAGAACTACATGCTATTTTGCTAATATTTCTATGGGTGACAAATTCAGCTGTTTTCCTTTCATATTTGCACTGCAAATTTAGGTAGTGCACATTTGTTAACTTTACCTATCCAGAAAGTCTATAGTTCCATTTTCAGGTTATGCAGAAGATGTTAAAACTTTACCTTCACATTTGTCACAAATCACGTTCTTTTGCAGAGCCAGTTTCCTTGTTGCACCATTATATAAATCTTCTAAGGTAACCGAGAGCTGATGTACCACATTTTTACCTATAACAAAATAACATTCATTAAAAATCTAGGAAACCATATCTTATTTATACTGGTAAAGAATAATGAAAGATGAGTCTTAAGGGCACATCTGTTAAGTAGCTACTCATACAGAATGTTCACATTATCACATATCCTCAAACTATGATGTAATTATAGATGAAGAAAACTAGGCTACAGATTAAGCAACCTTCTTAAGGATACAGACATGGTCATCTTAGAAATATGACAATCAAAAATGTTACCTCCAAAACCACTTGATGTTATTTAACTAGGCATATTTCACAATAACCCAAACATGCATTTCTGTCCCAATTTATTCTTTGAAGCTTTCTCTTAGTATGGCATTGAGCAATATAGTCAATTACTTCATCCAAACATTCTTTAGCACAGTAAATTCCAACTAATCAAGACTGGCTAGGGAAGCCAATATTGAGACACCACTGAAATATCAATTTGTACTTCTTCCTGATTTAGAAGGAACAGCACATTTACTGCTAGGCCAAGCACTATTTGTTTTAAAGAATACTTTTCATACTCTTTGTAATAGCATTGCCAGGTAGAACTTTCTGCAGTGATAAAAATGTTTTATTTATACTATCCAATATAACAGCCACTAGTCTTACATTATTAAGCACCAACTATTATAACTAAAGAATTTTCTCTTTCTTTTTGCTCTAAATTAACCTAAAGATCCACAAGAGGTCAGCAGCTACAAAGGAATGCCATACACAGTATCCCATCAGGAAGTAGAAGGCTGAGATCACATAAGGACAGTGAGAGTCACTCACCAATAGTTAGTGTTCCTTCTACAAGGACTTTGTCCACCACAAACAATAACACCTTAGGCTTAAATGAAAAAGGGTTCTCATTCTTTTCTATACAACTTGCCTAATGAATATTTTTAATTTCTAAATGGAAGTGTAAAGTAGCATTAACTATAGCCTTCTGTTCCTAGTTCCATTTTTGGGTTCTATATCACAAATAGTCAATTAAGTTTATAAAGAGTAGAGGAAAGAAAAATAATGCTACTAGAGTTTCAACAAACATTTTCCAAAAAATGACCTCTCATTGATCTAAGCCACATGGAACTAACTATGCCAATAATTTTGTCAATTCTTTATTTAGAAAGCACACCACAACTATTTTTCTGCAGGACAAACCACCCCAATAATTTACTAAGGATGTGATTTGGATTGCTGATTTTCTTTCTAGTAAATTCTTAAAAAAAAAAACAAAAAAAACCAACCCTCCTTGAAGACCTTTTTAAAAAGAACTGAGTAGAGCCAGGTGTGGTGGCACAGGCCTGTAATCTTAGTGCTCTGGGAGCCCGAGGCAGGAGGAATCCAAGTTCTAGTTCAGCCTGGGCAACTTAGCAAGATACTATCTTAAAATAAAAAAGGCTGGAAGTGTGGCTGGCTCAGTGTAAAGGCCCTGGGTTCAATCCCCTGGGTACTACTCCCTTCAATACAACGAAACAAGAAAAATTGTATTCTATGAACAATTATTTGTGCACCCTGTATGACATTTTTCTGCTAAATATTAAGTGCATATATTTTAAGACAATAAAGCCAAGGCAAAATTAAACAGTGTTTGAAAGCAATAAGCCTGTTTTCAGTCTTGATTCCACTGTTGGCTTGCTATATGAACTTCCTAAGTATGCTTTGTTCCCTTAATGTACAGTAACCTATGGAAATGATAGCCAAAGGCTTCAGAATATCTCTTTTGCTACCACTTGACTGATTAGCTATTTTTATCACCTCACATCTTATTTAAAAAACCTTAAATCAAAAGCAACATCAGTTTGCAACATTACACTAACATGCAAACAGCCATACAGAAGAGGTGAAATCTCAAATATTTTCTGACCAACAGCTACTTTTGCTACATACAGCCTTGATTTTCTTACCTCTCCTTTCTCTCTGCATCCTTCCTCCTCCTCCAAAAAACATATCAAAGATATCCATGGGGGAGCCAAAACCGCCACCTGCTCCACCCTCCTTAATTGCCTGTTCTCCTCCTTTGTCATATAATTCCCTTTTCTTGGCATCTGAGAGAACTTCATAAGCTTGAGAAATCTGTTTAAACTGTTGAGAAATGGAGAGTAAATTTCATTTTTAAAAAAAGGTGTAACAAAACATAGCCACCGTATTAGACCCAGCCATTCAGGCACCAACAATGCATTTTACCCAAGCCAGAGAACTATTTAGGTAAGAGGACTGTATAGTACTTGCCTTTTCTCCTTCATTTGGATTCTTATCAGGGTGGTACTTCAAAGCCAGTTTCCTATAAGCCTTTTTCAATTCTTCTTGGGTGGCATTGGGTTTAACCCCCAAAACATCGTAGTAAGTGGTTTCTTTCACCATTTTCTACAGCCTGATAGAAGACACAATTTTAACCAGCTTTCAACTTGTAGTTTTTAATTTGCAAGGTCAGAGGTAGGGCAGAGCAGTGATTTTAGTTAACAGTGCTTTCCCTGAACTTGAAAAAAGGGTAACAATTCCTACAATAATTCAGGTACTAAGTTTTAACAGACTAAATAAAAATAATTATGAGTAAATTCGAAAGCCTTTTAGCAGCTGTTTCCCACTCTTCCCACACAGAAGCTTCCATACCAACATGGTAACAGCCTACTGTTATCTGGATTCTTCCGGTTCCCCTTCCCCAGAAGCAGTAGCAGATAGCAGTAATGGAAAGGCGCACCAATAGGTTCAATCCACTGGTTAACACTGTCTTTGGTACATCTGATAAACGCCGTATGTTCCCAAAGACATGGAGGAACGCGGGGAAGCTCCAGCCTCCCCACTCCTTAGGGTAGTTTCGGTCACACGACTTACAGCTTGCTCTCTCCCCGCTGAACCCCTCTTCACCGGCGTGGTTTACACGTCCTTAAGTGGATTTCCCCCTACACTTGGCGCCGACCGTTAAGATTTCCTTCCTTTCTCCCTCCCACCCTACAGCGAAGGGGAGGGTGAAGCCCAGCCCTCAACAATGGGGGGGGGGCGGGAGACGTAAAAACCCTAGCTCGCTCGGAGCTACTCCAGCAACCCCTCGCCGCTGCCTCCCTCCGCGCGTGCGCGCAAAGTCGCCCACCCCAGCGAGCGAGCAAGGGAGCGGGTGGGGGCGGGGTAGGGGGAGCGGGTGGGGGCGGGGTGGGGGGCGCGGGGGCGCGCACGGAGGGGAAACCCACGGCGGCAGCTGCAGGGAGGCTCAGGCTGGGCGGGGGTATCCAGGGAAGGTCTCGGGGCCCTCACTGCTTATAGGTAAAGGGTTGCCGGCGCACCACACCGGCCCTCCAAAAGAGGAATCATAGATCCAGGAACCGACAACCTTCCTGACCACGCGGAGCCAACCGCCTTCAGAATGCGGCTCCAATCAGCTTCCTGGCTCCGAGAACGCCGCCAGCCAGGGGCTGAGGTGATGCGCGAGGGCTGAAACTCACCGGTGAGCGGGCTGGGCCGGAGTGGGGGAAGCGGGAAGGAGAGCGTAGCAATGCGCAGCTCAGACAGCCACCGCTCCTCCACCTCTCAGCGCGTTCTGGAAAGTTCCGTCTGGTACGCCGCAGCCGTCGTCTTTTGTAGCCGAGCCCTGGTACGTCACTCGCCGGAAGTCCCGCCCCTTCGGCCGCTGCCACCGCCCCGCGGTTTCCTGGGCAACGGTGCGGGGGCGCTGGGCTCGGGCGGGGCTATGCCGGCGGGCCTGGTGGGGGTGGGCCCAAGCCCGGCTTTGCGGGGCCAGTGGAACCTTCTGGAGGCCTTTCCTCGGCCGGCGCGCCCCAGGGTGCTCAAGTGTCCGGCTGGAATGGGCATGGCGATTCTGAGATGACCCTGGCTTCCCAAACCAGTGGATCAGAAGCTGTGTGCGGAAGAGAATCTCGGAACAAAATACTGCACCGCGCCGCGGCGCCGCCTTCGCCTCTTTCCGGGCATTAGTTCTGAAGCCTGAGGGTCAGGGAGTCTGAGGAATAAGATTGAGCATGGCGCCCTACCGCACTCCCCGACCGAACTCACAGGCCTTGCCGCTTGCTTTGTAAGGCTTTGTCCAAGGCCTGGTAGTTCATCAGATTGCGAAGTTGTCAGAGCTCTTTGCCCAAGTCCAGGCTCTGAAGCACAGGTTACCTGCCTCGGACCTTGCTGGCTTCGGTTGAGCCCCAGGGGCCTGGGAGCCCGAACTAAATCCAGAAACATTTGGAAAGCCTGGAGACAAACTGCAGGCCGACAACTTCTCTGGTCAGGCTCTCTGCCTCGTTTGGCTACAGAGTAGCATCTGCCTCGTTTGACTACAGAGAAGCAGCAAGAGAAGCTAACAAATTATTTTAACTATTTGACCACACTTTGAAGTCAATGAAACCAGACCTACAGTCTGCAAAATGAGTTCTGGGGGTTTCAAATGATAAGATTGTCGAAGAGTGAAAAATGGAGTCTGTCTTCCTTTTTTAGGAGCGCATTATTAGTTTCTTATCACCGAAAGAACTGGAGATGAAAAGTTGAAAAAGCCCAGGTCACATCGCCTATACTAGTGAGGAGCCAAACTAGCTTACAGGGGAGGGTCCTGTATTAATCTGATGGATCAGGAAGCGTTCTGTGAAAGTGCAAGTTCAGCTGTTTGAAAGATGAAGAAGAGCATCACAGCAATGGATAAAGCACAGGGAAAGACTAGACTGTGATGATGTTTTTAGGAAATTCCAAGTAATTGGTTGTAGTCAGAGCTAAGGGAACTGGAATGGCCTGAGCTCATGTGGGGCTTCAAACGTAGTTGGGGGAACATCATTACCTCTTGATATATCTTGCCAAGCTAAGGATTTTGAACTTCACCCTGGAAGCATCCCCGTGTCGCTCTTCAGCCTTATCTTTTATTAGTTTGAAGTGTGGATGCCAGACATATAGCACTATCTCGTTTTGCAAACCCTTTGTTTACTTCTATGTGCTGTTTTTTGCCTGACAAATACCCAATTTTTCCCATCTTAGCTGTTAATTTCCGAAGTATCACCAATGGTATAGAGTTTTTTCTTTAAACCAACATTTAAAATCTAACACTGCTATATAAAAATCCTGTAAGTTGTGGTCCCTGCTGTTGAGTTTAGAACATAGTGAGAGAACCAGTAACAAAAGGAAAGAGTGATAAAGCTAATAAAGGAAAAATGTAGGGTTGGGTACAGGGTAGAGGACCCTTGCATCATCCTGATGAGTTGCCCAGGCGAGAAACCAGCAAGTGTTAATAGCATGAACGATTAATAGAGAACAATAAATAACATGTTTCATGAAATTGTTGTCCTAATGTTCCTACTTTTGTTGTGATATGAACTGTACATCTGTCACTCTTACATTGATTAGGCATATATATAATTTTAACCAGGAGTTTTTTAGTTAACCATGTCCTGTGTGTGTACTGGGGATTGAACCCAGGACCTTTCATACTGAGCCACATCCCCAGACCTTTTTTTTTTTTTTTGGTACCGGGCCTCGAACTCCAGACCTTGAGCTTTCGAGGCAGGCAACAGAACCACTGAGCTAAATTCCCCACCTCTCAGTGTTGTTTTAATTTGCATCTCTCAAATGACCAGTGATGTTGAACATTTTTTCATATATCTATTTGCTGTTCCTACTTCTTCATCTGAGAAGTGTCTATTCATTTCAGATTCCCATTTTTGAATTGGTCTTTAAATTTGAGGGATCTGATTTTTTTGAGTTCTTTATATATTCTAGATATTAGTCCTTTGCCTGAGGAATAGCTGGTAAAAAATTTTTTTCCCCACACTATGAGTTGTATCTTTACTCTGTTGGTGTCAAAAGCATTTTTGCATCTATGTTCATTAGGGAGATTGGCCTGTAGTTCTCTTTTTTGGTTGGATCTTTCTCTGGTTTTGGTATGAAGGTAACACTTGCTTCCAGGAATGATTTTGGGAATATTGCTTCCCTTTCAATTTCATTAAAGAGTTTGAGAAGTAGCAGCATTAGGTCTTCTCTAAATTTCTTGTAGAATTCAGCAGTGACTCCATCAGAGCCTGGGCTTTTCTTTGTTGGTAGGGTTTTCTTTTATACATAAAATATTTGATGATGCAATAATAAAATATTAAAATTCCTTTAATTGGGTAGAGGGCATAGGACTTTGAGGTACGCACTGTGCATTTCTGCATTTTATTTGTTTAAAGTAAAAATAATGAAAAAAAAATAAACAGAGTAAACCCTTTTCCATTTCTGAAAATAGAAAACATATTTTCTCACATAACAGGCCAATTGTTTTCCAAAGGTAATGCCCATCCTCGCAATCTTAGGTTCCAGTGTGATTCTCACCTCAAGAATGTGAGAATGTGAGCAACAAGAAGGAGAAGATTCTGCACAGAATTTATTCTTGTTTGTTCCTCTTATTTTGGAGGAGTTTGAGAAAGGAGCCGTAGCTCATAAGGCCAGGTTTTGAAGGTTCAGGTGGCATTGGTGCTGGGGGATTTATGACAGTCATAATAAAGCCTGAGTTGCAGGCTGCAGAACAAATGATAGTTCCATGGTACAATTTTAACATTATTTTGGAAATGTAACCCAAATATAGTGCCCCCACTTCTCTCAGAAATTCTGAGCCACTCAATTTGTTTTTAATTTCTTCTATTTTAAACTGTAACACAGGTTTTCAAAAATGCAAATAAAATTACAACTTGGTGGATTATTATTAAATGAATAGCCTTTGTAACTACCACCCTGGGTAAGAAATAGAACTTACCATGTGAAATAGGAAGAAAACAGGAAAAGAGGAAGGGGAAGTTGAAGGGATAGGGGAAAGGAAAGGGAATGGAATTAATATGAGAAAATGGAAAACTGGAAACAAAGTCTTTGTAAATAGGGAGGGATGGAGGGGTTGAAAGGAGGGCAAGGGAAGGGGGAAAGAATAAGAACCAAGAGAGATTATGTAAAGGTGCAAATTTCCAATGATGAATGTCATTATATTGTATACCTAAAATGTACCAATAAAATTAATAATAATAAGAAATAGAACTTAGCATCTGCTCTGGAGACTACCACTCCTTTGAATTAAAAATTACTAGAAATACGACTTTTAAAGTAAATATTTGCTTTGGTTTCTTTATAGTTTGATTACCAGAATATATACCCTTAAGTAGTATAGTTCACATGCTATTAAAATATCTTTTATGTTTTTATTTATTTTTTTTTATGTTGGTGTTCTGAGGTGGGGTATTGCTATGTAGTTCAGGCTGGCCTTGCACTGTGCAGCTCAGGCTGGTCTTGAATTCATGGCTCTCCTTCTGGCTTAGCCTCCCAAGTGCTGGGATTACAGGCATGTGTCACCACACCTGTCAAGAAGTATCTTTTAAAAGTCTCTCTTCTTTCTTTTTGTCTGCCTTCCTCTATCTGCAATGAATATATTAAAGAACTAGATTCTTTGAGTCATAGTTTCTCATAGTATGTATTTTGCTGATTGTAGCTCTGTGGTTGAGTTTCACAGTTGCAACGTTCTCTGTATTTTGTGTAAAGTCCAAGTTCAACATACATGATTGGTCATACTCTGATTTAATGTTTTAATTACTTTTTCATTGGTGTTTTGTTCTTCCATCAGGAAGCTCAGAGAATTGTCTTTCACTTTGTAAACTTATCAGAAATTGATTTTCAAACACTATTAGGTACTTAAAAAGGTAATATTCTAATATAGTTATTCCTTCTCCAGTTATTAGCTAGAACATGTCAATAAGGAGATATTTTTCTGCATTTACTATGGAGCTCATTGCATAACAACTCATAACTCAGAACAATTTAGTTTACTTCATTTATTTAACAAGATTTGAAATATCATCTTCTAAAGGTAACCAATTAGTTTTATTATGAAATATAATTTTGGACCTCACTATTTGATGTTGACCAAACAATAATAGATCTTATACTAATTTTATGTATCAATTGCCCCAACTTTAGACACTGGGACCCTTTTTAGGTGGGCCTGGAAGCTCTTCAGCCTTGACCCATGTAGTCTCATGATAGCATCAGTGGTATTTGCAGTGAAAAATCATCTTGGGGTTGCCTTGAAAACTTTTGCTCCAGACCCCTGAGATTCACCAGGATATTCTTTTTGTTTGTTTGTTTTTAAAGGGGAAATTATATTCACTAAACTTTATCCAGACTCAAGGAATTTCATCACTATTAGAGTAGTTGTTATTTTGGCCTCTTCAGTGGGTAGCACTAAACATTTGTATACAAACACATGCTATAGTTTGAATATGCAGTATTTTGCAGGAAACTGATGTTGACATTTGATTCTCAATGTGGCAGCATTAGCAAGTGGGGCCTTTAAAAGATGATTAGGCCAGTAAGTGACATTATTGCCATTTTCTTAGGACTGCATTAGTTACCATGAGAAAGGTTGTTATAAAGTGAGATTCTTCCTCTTCTGCATTCATTCTCTTGCTCTTCCACCATGAGGCCCTCACTAGGAGCAGAGAAGATTCAGACGCCATGCTCTTGGACTTCCCTGCATGGCTGACCCAGCTGACATGGAAGATTCCACTGCAGCAAGATCTAGGTGATGCTCAGGCAGTGTCTTTTTGAAGTCTCCTCAGATGACTCTGGTGTGAAGTTCTGGAGGCTGAGAAGTTCAAC